CCATATCACCAAAAGCCTACGTGACTTTTCAAACTGGGTGGCCCATAGGCATTTCAAACTCACCATTTCTAAAACCGAACTCTTTCTTTCTCTCAAAACCCACCCCCATTCCAAGCTTCCCTATTAATATGAAGGGCACTACCAGTCTCCTCATTACTCAGGCTCACAACCCTGGAGTCATCCATGACTTCTCACTCTCACACATCCTATGTACCTAATCTATTGCCAAATCTTATCATTTCTTCCTCCACAGCATCTCTCATATACTCCCTTTATCTCTAATTACAGAGCTACCTCCCTAGTTCAGGTCCTCACCACCTTTAGCCTGAACTATTGAAATAACCTCCTAATCCGTGCTCCCACCTCAAGTCTCTCCCCTCTCCAGTCTATCCTCCACTCAGCTGCCAAAACGATTTTCCTAAAGCACCCATCTGACCATGTCACCCCTTTATTCAAAAAACTCCAGTGGCTCCCTAGCACCTCACAGATCCAGTCTATAGCCTTTTGTTTGGTATTAAAAGCCTGGCCCTTTCCTACTTTCTTCAATTTTCCTCTCCGTATACTCCATCATCCAGTTGTACTTCATTGTCCAGCCAACTTCTTGTTCCTCACACACACAGCATATCCCAAATTTGCATTCCACTCCCCTCTGCCTAAGATACGCTCACTCCTCACTCCCAACTCTTAGAATCTCTGGCTTCCTTTCACACTCAGCTCAGTGGCCATCTGCAGCATGAGGTCATTCCTTCCTGCTTGCCCCCCTCAGCTGCTAAAGGCTTCCCTTCTAAGGTTACCCTCCATCTACTCTACAGATATCTTGCATGAACCTGTGTAAATAAATGTTATCCCCCAAGTTGAAAAGTAAGCTCCTTGGGGGCAGGCTCGATCCCATGGTTTCTACACATATCATAACCAAGAGAAACACCACACAGCTGATTACAGCATGGAAGAAGGGGTTCGTTCCTTTTCTGCTTGCTATGCAAAGGCTGGATCTATTGATGAAAGTACGAAAACCTTAAGTAAAATGTATGTTTAATCCAAATTACTCCATTCTCCAGTGGAAGATTATTCAAAGAGCGCCCTCTTGTGGTCACTGATGCCATCTTCCACATAAATGTATTAACATGGCGGGAGTTAGACAGAAGAGGTGTTTTTAAGGGTCAGATAATGCCAGAATGCTAGAGCTGGAAGAGGCCTTACATGGTCTGGACCATCTACTGGAAAACAAAGGGAAGTCATTCTTTCACTTGTGACTCAGTCACAAGATCTTTAAGGGATGGCAGAAGAAGGAAACCTGGTTCGGCATTGGCCAGTTGTATCACCCCAATCTTCTCCCAGAGCTTCAAATGAGGGCTTCCAACTTCCTTGGATTCTGCTAATAAGCCGGAGAGGGGAGAGTATGGTAAAGTAGATATGAAGTCAGAGGAGTTGGGTTTGAATCCTGGAGTTACTATTTACCACCCACGGGGCCTCTGGCAAATCATTTAACCTTTTTGGGGACACAACTTCATCTGTAAAGTGAGGCTGTTGAATGAGGATAGCATGGTGTATATAGTCCAATGAGCACTGACCTGGGTGCAAATCTCTTTAGGCAAGTCACTTACTCTTACGCAGCTAAGTAGCATAGTAGACAGATAGGCTGCCAGGGCCTGGAACCAAGAAGACAAGATGACTCATCTTCCTGAGTTCAAATCTGGCCTCAGATCCATACTAGCCATGTGACCCTCGGCAAGTCACTTAACTCTCTGTCTCATTTTCCTCATCTGTAAAATGGGCATAGTAACACATCTCCCAGCTTTGCGAGGATAAAATGAGAGATCTGTAAACCTTAAAGTGCTATATCAATGCTGCCATTAACCTCTATGGGTTGTTTCTTCATCTGTCACATGGCCGCTGAGGTCACTTTCAGCTTTAGTGCTATGATCCTGTGAATAAATGACCTCTGAGCTCCCTGTCCTCTTTAACTATGTGATCCTACAACAATGTCCATTTGCCTGAAAAAAAAAAAAAGGAATTTGATTTTAGACCCAAGTTTATATTCTGGAAACTGTCTTTGCGCTATCCCTCCACAGGTGTAGATCACGACCCCTGCATGACATCTCATCCTGTGATATTCTTGTCAATCGATCAGCAAGCATTTATTAAGTGCCTACTATATGCCAGGCTTGGTGCCAGGCACGAAGACCAGACAATGAAACAGTGCCTGCCCCCAAGAAGCAGACATTCTATCAAGGGGAATGTGCATATGTAAGCATAAAATATATGGAAAATAAATAGAAGGCTCAGAACCTGAAAAACAATGCCTAATGGCTATGATATACTCTTCAGCACTTCATCACTCCGCTCAGTGAGGCAGGGATCAACCATGGCTGCTGAAGGCTGAAGCGCCTGCTTCCCACCCGCTTCCCACCTGCTTCCCACAGACCTGAGGCACAGAGGGAGATGCACACTTCCAGACATGGCCAAGGTATGAATTGTTTTGTCCTGGCTCTTCCGATTTATTGACTAATTCCCAAATGTTGACTATTTCCTTACAAAGAAGGCTTTTATTTTGAGAAAGCAGGGGAGACGTATGAGGATTCAAAAGGAAAGAAGAAACGTTTTTAAAATACCCAGCAGCAAGCAGAAGGAAGTTTTGAAAGAAGTGCAGGCAAGCAGGGTAGTGATAGTGTTACTGTGTTGAATCTGTGATGTTTTTAAAGCAAGCTGCAAGATATATACTCACAGCTTCACACACAAGCTTCTTTTTTTCCGTTGTTCTTTGTAAATGCAACTGTTTGTATTTGTTGATGTTTGTAATTTAAAAATCAAATTAAAGGAAAATTAGGGAAAGGCACTAGCAGCTTAGAGATGAGGAAAGGTTTCACGCAGGTGTATCATAAGCAGGGTTTGTTTTTTTTTTAAAGAAACAGGGTTCTAAGAGGCAAAGGTGAGGAGAAAGTACATTTCAGGCAAGGAAGACAGCAAGTATAAAGGCATGGAGCTGGGAAATGAAACATCTCAAGGGGCAACAAGGTGGCCACTTTGGCTACACTATAGAGTACAGGAAGGAGAATTAAGCATTAAGGCTGAAAAGGTCAGCCGGAGACAGATTATGAAGGGCATATCTAATTGTCAAGGCAATAGGGAGCCATCAGTGTTTGTGTGAGAGGGTGTCACGGTGAAACCTGTACTTTGGGAGAATTGCACTGAGCGGAAAATGGACTAGTGCGGGGAGAACTAGGTGACGAGGAGACCAATGGTAGAGGATTTATCCAATGGGCTAGAAGGGCTTCCTCTGGATCTTTTACCCTCTAAATCAACCAGTGCCTCTCTAGGGCTTCCCACTATGGTCCATTATGCTCACTTATATGAAGAGCACCCCCTCCACTTCTGGTCATACATGACCCTAATAACATCATTATCTTTAATGACATCCATTTTTGAATCTCCATTTTAAGGAAGACACCTAGACTGGCCATGTCTTCACTCTTCTCCAGAAGGCACTCCTGGCTTTCCTTGACTTTCTCTACAATGCCCCAGTACCATATACCTTTTATCTTTTCTCTCCTCACCTCTTTTAACTCCCTTCTGTATACTGTCTTCCCCTGTTAGTATATAAGCTCCTTGAGGGCAGGGTCTGCCTTTCTTTCTGCTTCATTTCTCTCCCCAGAACTTAGCACAACATCTAGCACTCAGTAAGTAAGTGATAAGTGCTTGTTGGGCTTGACTTCTCACATAGAAGTTATCTCTGGTAAACATGCTATGACCTTCTTATCCTCATCATGCTTCTTTCCACTGTTCTTTGGGTCACTGGTCATTTGGATCCTTCTGATATCCTGGTCTTCCGTTATTTCCAGCCATAGAGCATCAGCTAGAGAAGGCTGGAGTTCAAGAAATGGGCTATTGTGACATCCAGTAGCAAGTACTCAGCACTTTCCCAAATGCAGCCCAGTCTAAAGGCCATATCCACAACAGCTGTGTTACAGCACAGGGGGGAAATACTGTATTTGAAATGGGAAGTTGTCAAGTCAAACCCAACTCAGTGTCTGACCTTAGGTGAGTCAAAGTAGATAAGTGGTGCAACGTTAGAGTGCTGGGCCTGGAGTCAGGAAGACTTGAACTCAAATCCAGCCTCAGACACTTACTAGCTGTGTGACCCTGGGTAAGTCACTTAACCTCTGTCTGGCTCAGTTCCCTCAACTATTAAAAAAAATTAATAACACCAGGGGTGTTGTGAGCATAACATAATATTTGCAGAGTGCTTGGCAAACCTTAACATGCCATATAAATGCTTGCTAATCTTATTAAACCTCACTGGGCCTCAGTTTTCTTCCCTATAATAGAAGGGGTCATTAAACTAAATGACCAATGAAGCCATGAATCTCAGCTCTGGTGTGTTCTACAAAATGGGAAAGGCTGTAGATGGAAGGTGATAGAAGATTGCACCTGCTGTTTACAGACCACCTGAGTCAAATATGGAAAGAGATTAAGGGATTTAAGAGATGTTGTCATCAAGCCCACCCCCTTCCTTTACAGATGAGAAAACTGAGGCCCAGAGCAGTTGTGACTTTCCCAGGGTCCCAAAGCTAATAAATGTCTGAGACCAGGTTGAAAGCCAGGTCTTTCTGACTCCACGCTCAGTGTCTTCTCCACTGTGCCATGCTGTTTAAACTTCTTCCTGAAAGTTGGCCATAAGGTGATGGTTTCACTTGGCCAAGGAAATCCATGAAATGGACAAAAACACCAGGGACAACAGCTACCATGAATGGCATTTTCTGTGAATACTCTCAGCTGCAGTATTGAATGAAACAAAATACTATGTATGGAGCAAGTCATTCCAGAGGTAGTATAGGAAATAATTTTTAAATGAAAAATTAAGTTAATAAATAATCTTTATAATGATAGCAAACATTAAAATTAACTAGACATAGCTTTGGCTCTCAAGTTGGATCTCAGAAGAATTCCTGCCTCATTCGCTCATCAGTGCCTCTGTGGAGTGTGTGTATGTCATTTTTTTCCTCCTTACATTTCGCTGGTAAGCTGCTTATTCAAGTAAAGAACAGCCTTTGGGTTCAGGATCCCCAGAAATGACTAGAAAGAAAGGAAAAATGTCAAATCACATGCCTCTATATTCCACTTTGCACATCCCTGATATTTGGTTTAGCTAGACTTAAGTAAGTCCTTCCTACTGAATTCTCTAAGGAAGAAATGGCAACCATGCCCCTTTTCCCTCCAAAACCATAGGTAACCCTTTGTCTAGACCAGGAGTGGGGAATCTTTGGCCTTGAGGCCACATGTGGCCTTCTAGGTCCTCAAGTGAAGTCTTTTGACTGAATCCAAACTTCACAGAACAAATTCCCTTAATAAAAGGATGAGTTCTATAAAATTTTGGCCTCAGTCAAAAGGTCACATCCAAGGAAGTCTAGACTCTACCTATACTTATTAAAAAAAAAAAACCTAGGATATCTTAACAAGTGGGATTGTCACCCTGAAATCTCCATGATTAACCCCACCAAAGCTTATTACTGTTGATATGAAGACAAGATGGAATCATTGCAAAAGACAAATGGTGATTTGGAACTTTTTAGCAGCAGGATACAAATTCAAGATTTCATCAAGGTTTCATCAAAGTCAATGCCCACAACCATGACCCCTTTTCTCTAGGGATGGGGGAATCAAACCTGTCACAAAATGTCAGGCACAGAACATTAAAATGAATCCAAAACATGTCAATATCACTCAGATTCTTCCCTCGCTTTGACATGTTCAGCGTCATGGCCCCCAAGCAGCACGGGACTCAGCCACAGACCCAGATATAGACATTTATCCATTCAATATCCAGGGAATGCTTCAGCATCACAAGATTCCTAAATACCTCTCCCAAACAGTTGGAAGCCAGGACCATATGGAATAGACACAGAGGGGAAGGGGGAAGGCACTGGACTATTGAAACCAAGCCACCACACCTTGTAGTCTTACCTGGATGTGCGCTCATTTTCTCTCCTATACATTGCTCAGTGAACATCACCCAAGATCAGCCTCCTTAATATCTACAGACCAGCACTGACCCCACCTAGTTATTCTCTACTATTGAACCTAGGTACAGTAGAGCTTCTGAAGATATGTGACTCCACATCACCGTGCTGCCATTCAAATAAACTCAAGTGGCTCCATATCACCACCAGTATCATCATCATCATCATCATCATCATCTTCTTCTTCTTCTTCTTCTTCTTCTTTTTTCTTCTTCTTCTTCTTCTTCTTCTTCTTCTTCTTCTTCTTCTTCTTCTTCTTCTTTTCCTTCTCCTCCTCCTCCTCCTCGTCATTCAGTCATGTCCAACTCTTCACGACCCATATCACAACAGGCCCTTCTCTCCTCCACTATCTCCCAAAGTCTGTTCAAGCTCATGTTAGTTGCTTCCATGAAGCCATCTACCCATCTCATCCTCTGCCGTCCCCTTTTCCTTTAAGCCTTCAATCTTTCCCAGCTTCAAAGTCTTTTCCAATAAGTCCTGTCCTCTCCTTATGTGGCCAAAGTACTTAAGCTTCAGCTTCCGGGTATTCTAGTGAATTAATCTCGAATTAAGCTCTCTAAGTATGGACTGATTTGATACCCCTGCTGTCCAAGAGACTCTCAAAAATCTCCAACATTATTCAAAAGTGTCACTTCTGCAGTGCTCAGCTTTCCTTAGAGACCAGCTCTCACAGGCATGCATTGCTACTGGAAAAACCACAGCTTTGACTACATAGACCTTTGTCAGTAAGGTGATGTCTCTGCTGTGTAGTGCACTGTCCAGATCTGCCTTAGCTTTCCTTCCAAGGAGCAAGTATCTTTTAATTTCATGGCCGCAGTCACCATCTGCAGTGATCCTGAAGCCTGAAAATATAAAATCTGACACTGCTTCCCTTTCTTCTCCCTCTATTTTGCCAGAAGTGATGGGACCAGTTGCCAAGATCTTAATTTATTTTGTTTAAATTTCAAGCCAGCTTTTACACTCTCCTCTTTTACCCTCATCAAGAGGCTTCTCAAATCTTCATCGCTGCTCACATTTATATTGCACCTACTATGTGCCTAAGAGTGCACTAAGCGCTTTACAATTATTATCTCATTGGATCCTCACCACAGTCCTGAGAGGTAGGTCCTATTATTACCTTCATTTTAGAGTTGAGGAAACTGAGGCAGACAGAGGTTAAGTGACTTACCCAGGGTCACCCAGCTAGTAAGAGTCTCAGTCTGGATTTGAATTCGAGTCTTGTTCCTGGCTCCAGACCCAGTGCTCTCTCCACTGTACCACCCAGCTGCCTAAGTCCCAGCTAAAATCCCACCTCCTATAGGAAGCCTTTTCTGATCCCTCTTAATGCCAGGACTTTCCCTCTGTTCCTTACCTCCTGTCTGCCCTGTCCGTATCTTGTTTGCACATAGCTATTTGTCTGCGGTCTCCCCAGTTAGACTGGAAGCTCTTTGATCGAAGGGAAATGTTTTTGCCTTTCTTTGTATCCCCATGCACTTAGTGCCATGTCTGGTATTCAGTAGGCACTTCATAAATGCTTACTGACAACTGAGACCTCCAGAGGTTTTCCCAAAGCCACCCAGCCTTTCCTCTCTTACACACACACAGGCAGCTCGTGAGCATCTGATATGCCTAAGAGCGGTCGGTCGGCACACTCTAGGAGAAAGATCCCTGGAGTGGCTGTTGGAAGACCTGGTTTTGAATCCTGGTTCTGCTTCTTAACACTCCTGTCACTTAATTTCTCTGAGCCTCAGTTTCCTCAGCTATAAAAGGAGGTGATTAGAAAAGAAAAGCTCCTCTCAGAAACTAGAAAAGGCTGGGAAACAGGAGAGAAGGGCTTAAAATAAAAAACTAAACCAAAAACAGGCTGGGAAAGAGGCATCTTCCAAACGTAAACTGCAGAACAAGGGTGGGGGCAGGAGATGGGGGTGAGGGTATACAGGATGGGCGATGGGAAGTGGGGGTGGGAAGAAATTCCCTATTTTACAGGACCTTCCCTAGAGGAGATCAGGCAGCGGTAACTCACTCTGTAGACCTCTGTCTCTCCAACATTTTTATACAATGAAATTAAGTTGAAACGAACATCACAGAGCAATCTGGAAGTGGAAAGACATGCATCCAAAGTCACAGAGGATTCTGGAAGCAGGTAGAGATCATCTCCTAACATTGCATGAGAAGCCGAGATACTTCTGCTTCACTCTGTATAATACTCTATTTGACAAGATTACAGAATATTAGAGTAGGAGGGCACCTTAGGACTCATCAATCCAGTCCCTTTGTTTTACAAATGAGGGGCAGAGAGCAAATGACTTTCCCACAGTCACCTGGGCTATGAAGTGCCAGAATCAGATCTTGAATCTAGGCTTAGACACTAAGTCCAATATTCTTCCTTTTAGCGCCGGGGGGAGAATGGGGAGAGAGGCATGTCTTGACCCGAAATTGCATCTTGGTAGGAAGTTCCCGGTGAGGAAGCTTCCATTCCTAAAGCAGATCAGCAGTCTTAGAGGGGTGCTGGAGGAAGTGGAAATGGTTAAATAACTTCCCAGGGTCACACAGAGGAAGAATTTAAAACTAGATGGTCCTAACTCCAAAACAGGCTCCCTGTCCACACTGCCTCTGGGCTCCATTTTGAATTAAATCCATTTCTATGAGTTAATCTTGGATTCAGGAAGACTTGAATTAAGTTCTTCCTCTGATACTGACTACCAATATGAGCATGGATAAATCATCCTCTGATCCTCAGGCAATTCTGGAAGACTTCATCTAACAAGTTGCAGAACCACCTCTCCACACCATGAAATCCACATGGCTGTATGGAAAAACGTGTTCTGAGTTCCAAAAAACTAATTTACAAATAAATGGAACACTGGGGACAGCTAGGGGGTTCAGTGGATAGAGTGCAGGACCTGGAGTCAGGAGGACCTGAGCTCAAATCCAGCCTCAGACACTTACTAGCTGTGTGACCCTGGGCAAGTCACTTAACCTTGTTTGCCTCAGTTTCTTCATCTGTCAAATGAGCTGGAGAAGGCAATGGCAAACCACTCCAGGATCTCTGCCAAGAAAACCCCAAATGGGGTCACAGAGAGTCAGATGAAGCTGAACAACAACGAAGGGGCAGGATGGATGAGGGGCTAAGAAACAAAAGTGGGGCATACATTCTGGGCACAGATTCACAGTCTTAGGTGGGGAAGGAACTTCAGAGGGCATCTAGTCCAATCCATGGACCGGAGTAAGACTGTCCTCTACAGCATATCTAAGGAGCGCTCAGCCACACGCTACTTATTCAACGATGGTGGCAGAGAATTCATTACGTCCCAAAATAACACTGTCCTCTGAGATAGGTAAAAGTGTTAGGAAGTTTTTCCTCAAATCAAATTGAAATCCCTCTGCTACATGTCCATTAGTAAATTCATGTCACCATCTCCCTGAAGTCATGGTCCTCTTTGAGAACGAAGGACAAACCACAACCTGGGAGTAGTCCGAGCTGCCTGAATGGGGATCCAGCTGGCCAGTTCCAGTTGGGTAACAGCTCATCCTCTTCTCTCTTCTCCGCTCCTCTCCTCTTCTCATCTCATCTGAAGGTGCTCTGCCCAAAGGAAGGTAAATTTGGATGGCTGAAAACTACCTAGTTAACTTGGGGCTTACTGGATGGATTTTTTTCTCAATGACCAAGCCTTAAACCCAATTCACTCTGGATCTCATTGACTGGACAATAAAAGGTCCCTGCACAAGCACCACTTGGTGGTTAATTTTGGGGCCCTCCTGGCTCAGAGTGAATATAAATACTGTTTCTCTTTTGGCCAGCAACCCTGAGCGTCTTCCCCTCCCAGTTTGAGTTTTTTATTATTATTAAAGTGGCCACCCTTTGACTCACTTCTTAAAGAGGTCTATGCGCTGAATGGGCATTGCCTCACTTGTAGTGAGAACAAAAAGACCTTAGCTTAAAAAGGGCCAAGGACTGCCACTGCCTCCTGGGTCATCTCCAGTCATCCTGATCAATACCTGGCCAGTGGAACCAGATGGCTCTGGAGGGGAAAGTGAGGCTGGTGACTTTGCATAGCCCTCCCTCACTCAAATCAAAGTCAATTGCAAGTCATGTCAGCATCTCCCTGATGTCGTGGTCCTCTTCAATAAGGAAGGACAATCACACGTGCACAACCACAAACGTGAAACCAACTTTCCTGTCCAACCTAAATTTTCTCTTCTCCTGGCTAAATAAACATCACCATTTTCTTCAACCAATCCTTCAATGATATTTCCCGGACCATCATGTCATCATAGATTTAGAGTTGGGAAGGACCTCATAGGTCATCCAATCCAACCTACTCATTTTACAAGTGATAAAATTGAGGCCCAGAGAGGTTAAAAAACTTATCCATTGATGAAATACTTCATCCCATCAGTAGTAACCAGCAGGACTGAAATTCAAACCCAGAACTTCTAGCATTCACTCCCATCTTGCAGTCTTTCTACGATGACACCCACCTCTCCTCCACAGTCTAGACTTCCTGTAGTTTGTCAGTGTTGTGCCTAAAGTGTGGCTCCTAGGACTGAACCCTAGTTCCGATGGGTTTTGACCAGGATAGAGCCCAGACAAACCACCTCCTCCACTGCTCCAGATACCTTGCTTCTCTCAATGCGGCCTAAGATTGGCATTTTTTCCACATATTAAGCCAAAACTATCCATTGCCAGGGAAGACCACTTTGGGAAGGGCCCCAGCTATGTTTCACATCGCCCACACCTAGATTCTCTCCAGAGTCTTCTTCTCCTTCCCTTCCTGCACAGCCCCCACTCTAAGGCACTCTTCATCCTCATCCCTTTACCATCCCTTTACCTTTGGCTGCACCTGCTAACAACGTAAGTTCCTTGAAGGAAAATGCCATCTTATTTGTTTATATTCTGGATCTCTACCAATTAGCAGAATACCTATCACATTATAAGTACTTATCTAGCTATCTGTTTGTGTATGTACCCATCTGCTTCTGTCTGTCTTTGTCTACCTATGGATCTACTATCTACCTACCTACCTCTCTATCTATCTATCCACTACCTATCTACCTAACAACCTATCTACTATCAATCTATTATCTACCTACCTTCCTATCTATCTACCAATCTACTTATCTACCTATTGATCTATTTAGCTGTCTATCTATTTATCTTTCTATCTACTTACCTATCTATTGACTATTTATCTATCTATCTGCCTACCTATATATCTACCTATCTACCTACCTACCTATCTTTTTATCTACCTATTATCTACCTTTCTATCTACCTATCTATTGATCTATCTATCTATCAATCTATCTACATACCAATTAACTATCTATTTTATCTGCCTATCTATCTGCTATCTGTCTACCTATCTACCTATCTGCCTATCTATCTACTTACCTATTTATCTGTCTACCTATCTATCTATCTATCTACTTACCTATTTATCTGTCTACCTATCTACCTATCTATCTATCTATTTATCTGTCTATCTATCTATCTATCTATCTATCTATCTATCTATCTATCTATCTATCTTATCTGTCATTCCTACTCATTGCTCTTCATTTTGCTCCCAAGTGACAAGTAAAACCAGTCTACTCTGTCTCCCCAGAGCTAGGAAGCAGGGTCCTCTTCCAGAGCGGCCTCTCTTCCCCACTCCAAATCCAGGCACTACAGTTGCCAATGATGACTGGCCACCTGCCAGAGCTTGCAGGAGGATCCCTAGAGAAGCTGGAGCCACACACTGCATAGCTGCGGCCACCATGCGAATGGAGCCCAGGAGGATGCCAAGGACAAACACGGGCAGGGTCCTCTCCTTATCAGGCTGCTCATAGACCAGGTATGGTCCCTTGGAGGCCTCCTCCCGGAATTGGGACTGGAGCTTCAGCAGCATGTCCAGCCTTGACCCTTCAGAGCAGATCCGCCAGCAGCCATGGAAGTGGGGGAGGCATTTAGATGGAACTCCTGGTAGTACAGAAGAGAGAAGGGATGGTAAAGGGATATTTCCCATCCACCAGCACAGATTTGATCCCTCCCCAACCAGGGGCATGTACATCACCTCCACCCACCATTGCCAAAGGCAAGAGAGGAAAGTCAAAATGTCTTCTCAGGATGCAGGGGATGTCTCTGAGTCAGTTACAGAGGTTACTTACTCCCTGTTACCCAATCACTTACCTTGAATCCCTGAAGCAAGACCCTCCTGTCTCCTACTTTCCTGAAGGTACAAAACAAAAATTCATCAGATTCTCCAAGGGGAAGGCTTCTGAAAAGGAGGAAGCCAGCAGGGAAAGAACCTCAAGCAACTCTCTCAGAACCTCAGTTTACCATCTGTAAAGGATCTTTACCCTGCCTCCCTCATAAGGATGTTGCAAGAAACAATGAAATAATGGATTTCAAAGCACTTTAAAAAATGTTAAAGGCCCACCCCTCCTGAAGAGGTGTGGAGCCTGCTTCTGGCCAGAAATGTCTAAATCCTCTGGACTTTCTCTGTAATAAACCTTCTTGATACTAAATTTTTGGTGTCAAGAGCATTTCTAACAATTTGGCGCCCAACTTGGGGCTCAATCTAGACTTTGGAAGGGACAAGGTAAGACATCCCTGGAAGAGCGCGCCCACTGTATTTCAGCGGTCTTGGTGAGTTGAGCCTTTCCCAGCTGAACTCCTGATCTGGGACCACGTGGGAGAAGTCCAGGGGATTGGGGAAGCTGCCAGCAGACCACGAAAGCCAATATATTGGGCAAAGGAGTTTTGTGAGATGGAACTGTTACTGATTAAATGGCCCATTGCAGATACCTCTGGACTAAAGAAATTAGTTAACTAGGAATTTTATGGTGATAATCATTTAAGATCAATTGAGCCCCAATAATGGCCAAAATCCTGAATTGATCTTTTCTTCCTGAATAAGCTAAGAAAATGTAAAGAGCTATTAAAATGGAATTGATGATGATGATGATGATGATTGATTGATTGTTACAATTATCACTCAGATCCTGCTTCGTCCAGGAAGTTAGACCAGATAATCACAATCCTCTACTCCTACAACACTGTCTATCCCATTCACCGGGCACCAACCGCCTCCTGCTTTGTACCGTTCTGTAGCCGGCTTTCTTTCTTTCTACTATGTTCACAGCCTAGTTCTCCTGCTAGACTATTTGCACCTGGAGGACAGGGACCCACCTTTTACTTCTTTGTATTCCCTGAGTTAATTTGCATGGGAGGTGTTTAGTAAATATTTGCTAACTCACAAATTTCTAGTCATCTACTTATTAAACGGGAGTGACTTTGGAGAAAAATGTCTAAATCAAACAATAAGTATTTATTAAGTGCCTGCTATGTGCCAGGCACTGTACTAGGCCCGGGGAAGCAAATGAGTCAGTCCCTGACCTCAAGGAGCTTGCATTCTATAGGTGGAGACTACAAGCTATAAATATATTCAAAATAAATAAATGCAAGTAAATGTGGGGGGGGGCAGTCTTAGCAGTCAGAGAGAGGAGGAGTCAGGATGGGTCTCACGTAGTAAGCGACATTTGAGAGTTTTAAAGAATATAAGGAATTCTGAGAAGTAGAGGTGAGGCAGGAATGAATTCCAGGTATGGGAGATTGCAGGTACAAAGGCAAGGTGAGGTGTCATGGTGGAGCAACAGCAAACCTTGCTAGGCCACAGTGTGCAGGAAGCAGAGCAACGTGTGATGATAAGCTTGGAAAGACCAACTGAGGCTGGGTTGGGAAGGGCTTTAAAAACCAACCAGAGTGATCCTGGAGGCAATAGGGAGCTTCTGAGGCTCACTGAGTAAAAGAGTAACATGACGCAGACAGACAAGCATTTTAGGGAAATGTGCAATGGTGGCTGTGGGACCGATGGCCCTTCGTGGTGTGGCCTGCTAGCAAGTCTTACGCTTCTCAAAATCCTGAAGAATGCATAGCTCAGAAGGTTCAGTGCTGCCCCTCCCTCCCCTGACACCACCATCATCCTCAACTGCTACCATTCATTTCTCCATCATTCCAGAGAACTGGAATTTCACCAGTAGGAATATTTCCTCCATTGCAAGCCCCTAAAGTCTTAACAGCTGGCTCTTCATGAGTTGCTGTGGTCAAAACAAAAACACAAAATTCATGACCTAGCAGTAGCCAATCTTCTGGTGATGGATGCCTTGGCATTTAGATAGGTTAGTTTGCAGATGACAGGCATAGAACCCCCTACCCCAACCAACACACCACAACCATCTGTGGCCCAGACCTTTCTACCTTGGAAGGACCCACCAGAGCTTGGGAGTTATTGGCAGAGTCTTTGAAGGCCCAGGGTCTACTTGGCATCATGATTGAGATATCACAGAAGAACTTCAAGCGAAGGCCCCAAGACCCACACCAAAGAGAAATTATCATAGGATTATAGACTGAGAAATTGAAAGAATGATCTTTACAATCAGCCCTGGAGTCAGGAAGACCTGAGTTCAAATTTGGCCTCAGACACTTACTAGGGCAAGTCATTTAACCCCAACTGCCTCTTTAAAAAAAAAAAAAAGGAAAGAAAGAAGGAAGGAGAAAGAAAGAAAGAAAGAAAGAAAGAAAGAAAGAAAGAAAGAAAGAAAGAAAGAAAGAAAGAAAGAAAGAAAGAAAGAAGAAAGAAAGAAAGAAAGAAAGAAAGAAGAAAGAAAGAAAGAAAGAAGAGGAAGGAAAGAAGGAAGGAAGGAAGGAAGGAAGGAAGGAAGGAAGGAAGGAAGGAAGGAAGGGAGGGAGGGAGGAAGGAAGGGAGAGAAAGACAGAAAGAAAGAAACAAACAAACAAACAAAAAAGAAAGAGGAAGGAAGGAAAGAAGGAAGGAAGGAAGGAAGGAAGGAAGGGAGGGAGGGAGGAAGGAGGGAGGAAGAGGGAGGAGGGAAGGGAGGGAGGAAGGGAGGAAGGAAGGGAGGGAGGGAAGAAGGGAGGGAGGAAGGAAAGAAGGGAGGGAGGGAGGGAAGGAGGGAGGAAGGGAAGGAGGGAGGGAAGAGGAGAGGAAGGAGGAGGAAGGAAGGGAGGGAGAAGGAGGAGGGAGGAAGGAAGGGAGGAAGGAAGGAAGGGAGGAAGGAAGGGAGGAAGGGAGGGAGGGAGGGAGGGAGGGAGGGAGGAAGGAAGGAAGACCTTTGAGGTGATCTAGTCCAACTCCTTCATTTTACAGTTGAGGAACCTGAGACCCAACAAGGTTAAGTAAGTAGAGCCAGGATTTGAACCCATGCCCTTTGCTCCAAGGCCAGCCCCCTTTTACATCTGCACCGGGAAGGTTCCAGCTGCCCCAAAGGTTGCCACTGACCTTCCTTCCACTGTCCATGCCAGACGCCTTCTTCCTAAACAAGAAGAAGAGGATATCCTTAGAAGATGCAAGATGTCCTTTCAAACAGGGGATACTGAGGACAAGGCCTGGAGTGACAAGGCCTCAGGCTGATTCATCACTGGTCCCAGGTGACAGAAGGCCTGGCCAGGATCAGGGCCTCCTCCCAGGATACTCAGATCACGAAAGGGTAAGAGGGGACAGGAGGCTTGAGGGCTCATGTGGGGCCAGGGTGTTTGTGCGTATTGTATAGTATCAATCAACAAACGTTTTTACTATGTTTCAGGAACTGTTGCAGATACAAGGAAAGGCAAATACACTGTTCCTGCCCTCAGGGAGCTTACTGTCTAATGAGGGAGACAGCATGCAAACAACTTTGTATGTCATGAATTTGTGTCTTCAGAAACACGTTTGCATGTTTCTGCATCTGTGTGTGCATGCGCTGTGTGCTGTATGTGTAGCTGTGTGTGTCCATCAGTGCACTAATACGCAGTGTGTCTGTTTCCACATATGTGCATTCATGAGATGCACTCAGTTTCGGACAGCTCTAAGAATTTGGCATCAGTGAAAGTGCCTCAGTCTACCCATCCTCAACCTGAGCCCTCAGTAAGCAAGACAAATTGGTGCAGAAGGGTAAAAAAAAAAACTTCAGGTATGGGGAAATGGTTATGGGTCAGACCAGGTGCCTTATGCCCAGAAGCTGTACCACATAACCCAGTGACCTCCAGCCCAGCCATCCCTGAGGCCTCAGGGGGATGGGAACCACAAGAAGGGTAGCCCATGGCAACACAGGGGTCCTCAAGGCAGCAGAGCTGACTAGCTACTAAGGGGCACTTCCCAGGAACAAGGGATTTGCATAGATTGCTATCAGGACTATCCCCTTCTCACCAGTTGGGAGCTGCCTAGTCACACCTACCCCTACCACAAACCCTGAGCTGGAAGAAACAGTCTTACTTGCTCCTGGTATGGGTCCCATTTATCTCCTCTGGGCCATAGTATTCAAGCTCTGAAAGAGAGGAAAAAAGCTCATCTTGTCCTAAGACAGAAGCTCCAGGCATCTTCTGAACTTCAAAAACGCATCAGTCTTATTGGATGGATTCTGTTGTCACCTGCCCTACCTGTCCTGAATTCCCTTCCTCATGCCAACCAGGAATATTCTTATTTTTTTCTGCTGTTTCCTGGTCTGGAAAAGGGGAGGCATGACCTCGTCCCTCCTGAGGACGGGGTAAGAATCACAGCCAGTTGTGTGTATCTCTTGAGGCACATGTGTATAATTTAAAACCAGACTGGAAAATATCCATCCATAGGGTTGGGCCGTCTTCACAACGAAACCAATTGAATTGCACAATTCATTTATTGGTATTGTTTTAGGTAAGAAATCAGTCATGGGAATAATCTGACTAGCTATTTCTGGAGCCCAGATAACTGCCTTGACAGGTCACTTGCTTGGCCCATACCATCATCTACGTGAAACAGCTGTTCCATCTTGGCCTCCTCCTCTCTCTTCCAGTCTCCAGCTGCTGTTGCAAGGATTCTCATGATTCGAATCCGCTCCTCCTTCCTTTTCTCCCTCTCTTTGGCTCGCCTTTCTTCTAGCTCCTTCCTGCTGCTGCTGGGTCTCTCCGTGAGGGATCTAACAGGTTACAGGCTCAGTCAGATTAAATACTGCCAAGGAAGGCTTTGCAACTAACAGTTTGGAAAACTCTGAAGTCCAGATGAGATATGAACTAACTCTCAGAGAAGGTGTTAGGCATCTCCAGAGGGCAGAGAAGGAAGACTGAATGGGGAATATGAGATGATATAACCTCATGGGTTACTGAAATTCAGCTGTAAGTGTGTGATGATGAAAAAGCAGATTGTAGTGATTGTTCTATGAGCTTTCAAAACAGGAAAAATTGAGGACACTGGCTCTTACATCCAGATTTCTTTGTTTTGTTTTGTTTTGTTTTTTTGGTTTTTTGGCTAGGCAATGGGGTTGCCCAGGGTCACACAGCTAGTAAATGTTATGTATCTGAGGCCAGAATTGAACTCAGGTCCTCCTGAATCCAGACCCGGTGCTCTATCCGCTGCACCACCTAGCTGCCCCCCTCTTACATCCAGAATCATGGAAGTCTGCCAATCCCCAAAAGTAGAAAAATCCCTAGGCTAGAATGAGAAGACCTATAAGTAAGTCATTCAGTCAATAAGCATTTATTAAGCACCTACCATGTTCCAGACACTATGCAAAGCACTGAGGATACAAAAAGAGGCAAAAGACAGTCCCTGCCCTTGAGGAGCTCACAGTCTAATGGGTGTTAGCCTGCAGTTAGTAATCTTAAATCCTTCCTTGGACAAGTATTACCTTTCCAACCCTGAGCAAGGTCATGAAAGTAATGGTCACTGCTTGACCATGTTTTTGCCCTTCTTCAGATCCTCAGAACTTAATGACTAATATGTAGCGTGTTTAACAAATGGTTTTTGACTGACTGATTGGCTGAAACTCCCCCAGCCTTTTCCCCATCTTCAAAATGAGGGAGGTGAACAGGATGGCCTTTAAGGTCATGTACAATTCTCGATCAATGATCCTACGAGCCCCTAGTTCTAGGCCTGGCTAAGCCACTAACCAGCTAGGTGACTTTGTTTCAATCAATTCCCTTCCTTCCATCCACAGTTTCCTCAAGTGTAAAATGAAGAATTTGGATAGGGTCGTTCATTTGCCAAGCGTTTATGAAGCACCATTTATGTGTAGAGCACTACGCTAGGCTTGGGGTGGGGCAGGGGGGAAGGACAAAGTTTCAATGTTCACCAAGGTCCCTGGAAGTTAGCTCTAAGTGATGTCCTTTGAACAATTAAAGATGGAGGGGAGCAAACTCAAAGACCTGAGGACCAAAGGGGTCTTCAGGGAAGAAATGTACTAACATTGACATTAAGGGATCGCCATCCGTACTTGGATGGAAACGTCTCCCAGATTAGAAAAAGAAGACCCCTTACCTCATTTGGGGGACAGGACCCTTTGTGATTTTCACAGAGTGACTCGTGGCTCTCATAGTAAGGTGAGGAGAAAGACACCACAATCACCAAGACATAGAACACAGAGTCATGGAATCAATTGAATCATAGAAAGGACTAGCCAGAGGTCAATTGGTCCATCCCTCTGCCTCAAGAATGGGCTCTAAGTTCTACAGAGGAGATTCCACATGGTCTGGATTGGAAAGAGCCCCAGATTAGGAGTCAGAGAGTCTAAGATGGAGCCATCTCTGGTACAACCCACACGATCCGGAGCAACTTATCACCCCCCTCTGGACTCCAATGGCCAAATGAAGGGATTGGCCTAGTTCAGGGCTTCTTCACCTGGGTTCTACAGACTCCCAAGGGTCTTTGGATGATTTCAAAGGGTCTGTGAACTTAGATAGGAAAAAGTTACATCTTTACTTTCACTAATTTCTAACTGAAATTTAGCCTTTTTCCATTATAATTAAAAATAATAACAACAAAGATTATTATTGTGAGAGGGGGTCCAAAAGCCCCACCCTTCCTCCAAAGGGATCCATGACCTGGATAATTTTTAAGGTCCCTTCCAACTTTAAATAATATGATCCTAAGGTGACGTCCCTGGGATCCTTGGTATTCCAAAGAGAAGATTCCATGAACTCTGAGGCAGTGGCTAGCAACGGGAAATGTGTGATGCGCTGACTGACAGATAAATGTTTTTTCCTGAGTTTTTCAGGCCCAGGACAACCTTCTGTGGCCACATAGTGAGCAGAAAGTGCTCTGAGCTTGGAGTCCCACCCTCAAATGGGAGGTGCTCCCTACTCTTCAGCCTAACATTTGTTTGAGAATCTGTCCCTTCAAACCCCAAGGATCCTTCGGGTTCCTTTAGAGATCAGAATAGTAGTACCAAGAATAAGCAAGTGGAAGAGAAAAATCATTTCATGAGCCCAAGCAAAGAACTCAGGCTACAAGACAGCCCCTCCCTCGGCTCTTCAGAATCTAAAAAAATCTATAACATGGGGTTGTCAAGGGGGCTCAGATGAGATGCCAGGAGAAGCACTTTGCAAACCTTAAAAGGCTGTGTAAATACTAGACATGACTATTATTATTACCACTATTATTATCATCAACAAAGAGGCCCTATTGCCTTGATGATAATAATAGTTGAGGTGGATTCTGCTGTTTCTCCTTTTCATTGTTTCTCCTCCATCCAAAAGCACATGGTCATAGGAGCTCCTTAACATTCCTTCTTAAGGCTCCTGCTTCGGTATCTAGATTCTCCAGCCCCGGCCCTGTGCTTAAGCAACGATGGCACCAGCTAAACATGTGCCCTGATCTGAAATCCTTCCTGACAGTTCTGCACATAGAATCATTGAGTCCAGAAAGCAGAGTGCACACTCTCTCTCTCACTCTCTCTCTCTCTCTCTCTCTCTCTCTCTCTCTCTCTCTCTCTCTCTCTCTCTCTCTCTCTCTCTCTCCCTTTCTCTTTCTCTCTCCCATTTTAACTGGGAAGTGTAGTATATTCACTCATTAGCAACCACTTAAATATTTGTAACCAGGGTCTGCGCAGGTAGGTGACACAGTGGATAGAGCACAGTGGATAACGTCAGGAAGACTTGAGTTCAAATGTGACCTCAGACACTAAATAGCTGAGTGACCCTGAGCAAGTCACTTCACTTTGTTAGCCTCAGTTTCCTCATCTGTAAAATGAGCTAGAAAAGGCAATGGCAAACCACTCCGGTATCTTTGTCAAGAAAACTCCAAATAGGGTCATGAAGAATTGGACACTACTGAAAACTACTGAATGACACTAACAGGGTCTGGTACCTTCATAATATGACTAGGATAGAGTCCCCCACATGAATAAACTGGACAATCTGCTTCTGAGAGAATCATGATGTTTGGGATTGGAAGTGCCTTGGAAATATTCATAGCAGCTCTTTTTGTGGTGGCAAAGAATTGGAAATTGAGAGGATGCCCATCCATTGGGGAATGGCTAAGCAAGCTGTGGTACGTGAATGTAATGGAATACTATTGTGCTATAAGAAATGATGAACAGGTTGACTTCAGAAAAACCTGGAAAGACTTGTATGGTCTGATGCTGAGTCAAGTGAGCAGAATCAAGAGAACGTTGTACACAGTAACAGCCATGTTGTGCGATGACTAATATTGATAAACTTAACCCTTCTCAGCATTACAAGGATTAAGACATCTCCAGAGGCCTCGTGATGGAAAATGCTATCCACATCCAAAGAAAGAACTATGGAAGTTGAATTGCTATCATTTTTTTTCTCTTCTGTTGAGTTTTGTTTCCTCTTTCTGATGGTTCCTCCTATTGGTTTTAATTTTTACTTACAACTTCCCTAATGTGAAAATATGGTTAATAGGAATGTAAATGTATAGCCTATATGAGATTGTGCGCCTTCTTGGGGAGGGTGGTGGGGAAGAATGGGGAGAAAAAATTTTAAACTCAAAAGCATATGGAAGTGATTGTTGATAAATCAAAATAAATTAATAATTTTTTTTAAATTAAGTGCTTTGGAGAGATTAGAACACATGTAGACATTCTGTAAATGGTTCTAGTTAGCTAATAGTGTCATGAAAAGGTGGTTCTTTGACTGGAAGTGGAGGCAGTCTCAAAGGCCCATCAGCCTTGGCTCAGGCCTTTTGACAGTTCTCAATTCAGCTACTTTGGGGTGTGATTTATGTCTGGTGAGAGACAACACAAGAGGAGGGGCTTGGGAGCTTCTCCCCTCTAAGGCTATGGCACCCTGTGAAAGGGCCTTGGTCCTCGGCCTCTGTGCTTACTTTTTTCCTTTTTCGGTGAAGGAGATTAATCTGGAGGTCAGGAAAGTGAATCACTAGAGTCTTGGCATCAGAGTGCAGGCCAAAGTTTGCAGCCAGCCCAGCCTCACTGAACCGAAATCCAAGGGAGGGACATTCTAGATCCAGGTCAGCAGAAGCTGAGATGAGGATTTATCCGAAGTCTGGACACATCTAGATATGAATTTGGAGGGACTAGTATTATGTGGGAGCTGAGTTATTGGGGGAAATGTTGATATATTTGCTCTTGCTCTATCTTCTAGGTAAAAGCTAATTGGTATTAAGTTGGTTAGATAAAATTAGAGCCCTAGCCACTGGCCCCAAAGCCACAGTTCTAAACCCCAGTCAAACTGGAGCAGGCAAACCTTGTACTTCCTTGACTACAGGCCTATGATGGCAATCTAGGCCCAACATTCCCATCATTCCTCCCTGTCCTTCCATGTCAAATTGCTCCCCTTACTTTAAAGCCCAACTCAAATGCCCCCTCCTCCAAGAAGCCTCCCCAGGGCCCCCTGATCAGTAGCATCCTCCTGCTATACACCTCTTACTACCTCATTTTGTAACTCTCTAATGCACCTAATATGTAATTGCAGGGCAAAAGGTGAGGGAGCTTTTCCTGGCATGGGAATGGTGCCCAAAAGGGATGGCAGCCAATAGTGAAGAGACAATATGGGCGCGGTACCTAGCTCCACAGGCAGGCTGGAGGCGCTGACATACAGCAAGGTATTCACTCTGATTCCCCTTCCCCACCCCATCCCACCAAACCAGAGCCAATCAGGGTTCAAACTTTAATAGAGAATTCTCAATTAAAGAGCTGATGTGTTATTAACAGGAAACTACCCCACAAACCCTAAAGCACAACAGTGGGGTAGTCAGCCATTGAAACGAGGGTATTCTCTGAATTGCCTAACAAAGTAAAGAATCTCAGGGACCCAGAAAACTCACCTCTTAAATGTGCCACAGTAAGCAAGGGGCCAGAGAAGGGGGCAATGCTGGTCTACAGATCCCCTAAGCCTTGGCATACACACATCCTGGAGGCTGGCGCCATACCAGTCAAAACTGGAGAGTGGGCACCAGACCTCGTCTATCTATACTTCATATCTCCTCCAGGGAATGGGCAAGAAAATAAGCATTTTAAAGTACCTACTATATGATTTTTATAAATATTATCTCGTTTGATCCTCACAACAACCCCAGGAAGTTGATACTAATTATTATCCCCATTTTAAAGCTGAAGAAACTGAGGCAGATGGAAATGAAATAACTTGCCCAGGGTCACAGAATGCCTGGTGAATATGAACTCGGGTCTTCCTGACTCAAAGTCCTTCTTTCAATGCACTGTGTGTGCTTCTTAGCTGCCTGATATAATACATATGAGCAATACCCTCTGGAAGTACTCTGATAGACAAAAATCTAGACATCACTGGGGTGGGGCAAAGGGTCAGTCCCTCACTTTACCAATATAACTACCATGTAATTCTTTTTAATGGACTGCTTTATGAAAAGATAAAAAATGATTCAATTTACACACGATTTTTGAGGAACATTTCTAATGAGTAGGATAAGATTCCTTTTAATGCAATGGCCAACAGTCCCGGCCGCCATCTTGGTATAGAGGAACTGAAGCCCTTCAGGCCTCAGTTTCCTGATCTGCAAAGCGAGGGGACTGGACTGCATGGCCTCAAAATCTCTTTTAGCTCTCTGACCCCACGACTGGGAACCATGTAGAGAGCCAGCCAGCCAACTAATCCTGGAGAAGGGGCAACAGTAATGGTGGTCCCCCTCTTAAGGGAGGAAAATCAAAGGTGAAGTTAATAAGGAATCACAGTCTCATCAAATAACATTTATCATCAGCAATAATAACAGAACATCCACAACCGATGCCTCAAATGTACAATAGATGGCCATTCTAATGATGACTAAAGTATAATCTGCATTGAATTTGAGAGTGAAGAATTATTCTAAAAAGAGTCCACTTCATGCCTCTTCGGGATCTCGTCCTGCTTTTTGTAAGATTCCTGATTATTACTGATGTTAAATTATTCTGAGGTGCTGCTGAGAAGGACTCAGCTTCTGGACTCAGCATCTGAAGAAGAAGCTAGGGAACAAGGAGAAAGGTGTTTATTACCCACTCTTGGTAAAGCCCAAACAATCCTTCCTTGGCCCGTTAGCTCAGGGAGCCTGCCCTCAGGGACAACGCCAGGGCAGGACTGACTGCCTGGACTGCTGAGTCTGATCTGATGAGTCCCCAGGGCTGCCCAGCCGGGAAATCAGGAAGACTTCTGGCTGAGGGTTCAGCTCTGCTCAGAAAGGACCTTCCCATGGGACCTCCCAAAGCACTTGCTGGTGTGCTAATACAATACCAGTACAATAAATGCACTTAGGATGGAATGCTGCGAATTACACACACTGTGTCTCTTTCCCTACTAAATCATAAACTTCATGAAGGCAGGGACTGGGTCTTATCTGAATAGTGCTATCTCCCTCCCCTTCCCAAAGCACTGTCCTGAATACAGGAGGAACTTAATACATATGGAAGATGGCTGATTTAGATTTGGAAGGGACCTCAGAGGGTATCTGCTCCAAATCCCTCATTTTATGGATAAGTGAGGCAAAACAAGGTTAAGTGACTTGCCCAGGGTCACACAGCTAGTGTCTAAGATAGTATTTGAAACCCAGGTGTTTGTGATGCCAAATCTAGTGTTCACTCCATTATACCACACTGACTAGTTAGGTGACCCTAGGCAAGTCACTTAACCTCTGGATGCCTCAGTTTCCTCAACTCTGAAATTGAGATCGATGAAAGCTCTACTTCCCAGGGTGGTTGTGAGGATCAAAAGAAATAATTGTAATGCCCTTAGCACGTGACTGGTACATGGTAGGCGCTTAATAAGTGATTATTCTCTCCCCTCCCCCTTACTATCTCTCTGTTGATATAAGACTTCAATGTATTGGTTAGTTTTGCCAAAACGACTTTTTTTTCCTTTTGTTATTCCTTGCTTTAAGGATTTGGATCTCTGGAAAGGAAGCAAGGAGGATCTAGTTGGGAAATGTAAGCCTTGTAAAAAAAAGAAAAAGATATCCTTAACTATTTTTTAAATACAATAAAAGAGACTTGAGTGAATGAATGAGGGGATGGTGATTAGTCTTGTCTTAATTTAACAGTCGTTTATTAAGCCCCTGCTGTGTGCACGTGTGGGGCTACAAGGACAAAAATGCTAATGACCTTTCCCTTGAGAAGCTTATTAAACCTAAACAAATTGGTGAGTATCCACTAATTGTAAGAAGGAGAAAGCAGGAATGACTGGGAGCATGAAGAAAGGATTCCCATAGAAAATGGAACCTGCCCCAAGCCTCGAAGGAAGCTTAGGCTTCTAAGAGGCAGAGGAAAGGAGGGAGCGCAGCTAGGGGGCGCAAAGGATACAGCACCGGCCCTGGATTCAGGAGGACCTGAGTTCAAATGTGGCCTCTGACACATAACACTTAACTAGCTGTGTGACCCTGGGCAAGTCACTTAACCCCTTTGCCTAGGCAAAAAAAAAAAAAAAGGAGGGAGAGTCTGCTAGAAACAGTGGATAAAATCAGGGGAGTTAGAGGGTTGGGGCTGGACCAGAGAGCTCGGGAAGGATTGCCAGAAGAAGGAATACAGGAAATCTTCTAGGCCAGGAGATGGGCAGCTGATGATTTCAGCAGGACCTCCTTTATCCGGGGCTGTCTACAAAGCAGGGATTCAGAGGGCCAGGGAACCCCTTTACCCCCATGCAAAGTCCTCCATTAGGGTTTCTTTAGTTCAAAATATACAGGGGCTTCCTGTCTTGGCATAATGCAAACAACCCTCCCCTTCCTTCCCTCTCCACCTGGCCCCAGGCTGCCTTTCCAGGCTTATTCCATAGAATTCCTTTCCAGTTCTCTACCATCGAGCTAAAACGGCTTCCTCTTCCTCGCAGTTCCCCACATAGGACATTCCACCTTCCATCTCCACACCTTTGCACGAGCTGTACCCCATGCCTGGAATGCCCTCCCTTCTCATCTCCACCTCTAAGAATCCCTAGCTCCCTTTTCAAAGGTCCTCTCCTGCCACCTCCTAAAAGAGACCTTTCCTCTCCAGGCTGCTGATGCCTCCATCCCACATAAACCCATTACTGTGTGCGTGTGTGTGTATGTGTGTGTGCATGTGTGCGTGCACGTGTGTGCATGCGTGTGTGTGCATATGTGCATGTGTGCGTGTGTGCATGTGTGCGTGTGCGTGTGTGCATTTGTGTGTGTGTGCGTGTGCATGTGTGTGTGCATGTGCGTGTCTGTGTATGCGTGCATGCGTGTGTGTAGCAAATGTGCAGTGGTATGTACCGTTATCTTCCCCGGTAGAATGTGAGCTCCCCGAGGGCCAGGACTGAGCCTCGCAGTGCCTGGCACATTGCGAGCACTTAATAAATGCTCACTGATGGATTGATCGGATTGCTTTGAGCCAGATTGTTTCTTCTGACAATGACTGAGCAGCAGAGGGAAGGAGGTCACCTAGGCCAAGAGTTCTTCACCTAGGGGTCTGTCATCATGTGGTCTTTATGTATATGTTTTGATAACTATTCCAATAGCAAAGGGCAGGGAGGAGGAAGGGGCGGTGGAACGAAGGGGGAAAGTCAGAAGGACTTCCCAGATAAGACGGGTGAGCTCTCTCTGCTGCCCTCTCCCCACCTCTCCCCTCCGTCCCCCTCTACTCACCGAATAATTGAGACGACGATCATCACGAGACCATAGAGAGAGTCGAGGAAAAAACTGAGGGAAAGAAAACTGGGCGCTTCGCCCTCCTCGTCCTCGTCCTCCTGCCGACTCTGACAAGCGGGCTTTGGCAGCCGGGCCTGAATCCCCTGCCACCTCAGGAGTCGCTCCTCATCGCAGCAGACGCGCCACTGGTGGTGGAAGTGGCTGAGGCCGCCGCAGAGACTTCCTAGCGTGCAGACAAAGGGAGGCAATTTCCCGAAACCCCCAGGGGTGCTGGCCCCGGCAAGGGTCCCAAGGCTTCCCCAGAAGGGGCCAGCGCCGCCCAATCCCCTGGGCGGGTCCGCACCCAGCCCCCAGCCCAGGGTAGGCGCTCACATACCCCTCGGTCATCAGCCCTACCAGGATAGAAACTGGCTTCTCTCATCCCCTGAACCAAGTCTGAAGACGCTGATTACCTCTCTCCCTGGCTTTACCTCTTCCCTGCTTCCACTACAGAATCATAAGCTAACAGAAGGATGGGACCGAAAAGGGCACTGAGTCCAGTCTTTTCATGCTAAAGATGAGGGAGCTCGGCCTCAGAGAAGTTCCTCAACCCGCCCCAGGGTCACACAGCTAGTAAGTGTCTGACTTGGAGTCTGCCCCAGGCCTTCCTGACTCCAGGTCGCGAAGCCCCGGCCTCTAGGGCACACCTGCTTCTTCCTGGATCCAAGCGAACATCTTCGTCACCAAGGCTTGAACCTAGCAGGGACTTCATATATGTTTCTTGATTGAACTGAATGATAACTTCTCTGGGCCTCAGTTTCCTCATCTTTAAAATGGGATTGATAATCCCTAGACTCTCAACTTGTAGTAAGGACTTGACTACAGAAATTTTTTGTAAAATTCCATAGTGCCTAAAGAACAGGGTCCTAATAGTATAAGTAAGACACAGTCACTGTCCTCAAGGTGCTAGATAGATAGAAGGGGTCATGGATTTGGATGTCCCCCTATCCTCTCCAGTAGAGAAGAAGCTTCTTGAGGGCAAGTAATATTTCTTTCTTTCATTCTTTCTCCCTCCCTCCCTTCCTTCCTTCCTTTTTTGCTTGCTTTCTTTATCTCTATATCTCTGACTCCTAGGCTGCAATGCCTGGCACATAAGACCATTAGTAAGCCACTCAATCAGTGAATGTGTATCAAGTACCTACTGTATACCAGCCTACTTACTGAACTGAATTGAATTAAAAGGAACCTTAGAATTTTATTATTACTAGAGACCGTGGAGTGCAATTCCTTCATTTTACAGGTGAAGAAGCTAAAGCCTAGCAAGGTCCATGGTAACACAAGGAGATTAGGGAGAGAGACAGAGAGAGAGAGACAGAGACAGAGACAGAGGAGAGACAGAGAAGAGAGAGACAGAGTGAGAGGTAGAGAGAGGAGAGACAGAGAGAGAGGGAGGGAGAGAGAGAGGAAAAAGAGAGGGGGAAAAGGAGAGGGAGAGAGATGGACAAATAGAAAGACAGGTAGGCAGACAGAAAGGCAGACAGACAGATAGATTAGATGGATAGATGGGTGAATGGATGGATGGATGGATGGATGGATGGATGGATGGATGGATGGATGGATGAACAGATAAATAATGGATGGATAGATAGGTAGATGGATGGATGGATAGATAGATAATAGATGGATAGATAGTTAAAAGATAATGGATGGATGGGTGGATGGATGGATGGATGGATGGATGGATGGATGGATGGATGAACAGATAAATAATGGATGGATAGATAGGTAGATGGATGGATGGATAGATAGATAATAGATGGATAGATAGTTAAAAGATAATGGATGGATGGGTGGATGGATGGATGGATGGTTAGATAGATAAACAGATGAATAGATCAATAAATAGATAATAGATGGATGGATGGATAGATAAATAGATAGATGGAGAGACAGACTGATAAATAGAGGCAGACAGACAGAGATAGAAAAAGAAAGGAAAGAAGGAAGGAAGATTGCATATTTCTATAATGCTTTACAATTTACAAGGGGCTTTCCTTTGGAAAATCCCTTAAAGTGGGTAATGTAGGTGGTACTATGCCCATCTTACAGATGAAGAAACTAAGAGGTGAAGTAATAAGACAAAAATAGCCCAGCTAGGAAGCAAAAGAGCTGGGCCTTGAGCTCGGGTTTCCTGGTTCCACGTGTAACACTGCTAAAAAAAAAAAGGTTACAATCCAAATAAGAGCCTATAACCTAGAAGCAACTTCAGCTGTGGTATAAAGTTCTATACTTTAGACCAAACTAGATGCTTTAGGATTTTTCAATTATCAAGATTTCTCCACTGATTTCTTACCTGGGTCACCTGATCATGTGGAGAGCTAGGTGGCTCAGTGGATAGAGCACTGGGCCTGGAGTCAGGCACACCTAAGTTCAAATACAGCCTCAGACAATTAATAGCTATGTGACCCTGGGCAAGTCACTTAACCTGTTTGCCTTCATATAATCTGTGGTCGAGAACTGAGGCCCTTGAGGAAGGGCCTGGAGAAGGAAATGGCAAACCTCTCCAGTAGCCCCATGGCTAGTATGTGCCACAGGGCCACAAAGAGTCAGATGACTGAATGACTGAACAATACGACCTGAGGAGTTACAGAAGCCCTCTCGCCTCTACTTTGTCTCCCGAACAACGTGTGAAATTCCCTGGACAAAATGAGCTCTTTGGCAAGGCCCTCTGCTCTTGCAGGGATGGAGCTGGGATCCAGGGGGTCAGCTCCTCACTGCAAAGGAAGTTCCCCCAGTTCAGCTGGCCCTAGAGCTGGGCTTTGAAAAGGAGACAGCTGCCAGTTCAAGGGAGAGAGATAACTCCCAGAAAAAGAACGGACATTTATTAAGGGTAAGAAACACAGACCAGAAGCAGAGAGATAGGGAAGGAGAGGCACTCTCCAGAGAGAAAGCAGTAGATCAGACCCACCTCCAGGCAAGAGAGGCACAATAAATCGTAAGGCATAGGGCCGAGACAGGCTGGGTTCCTTGGAGAGAGGTCTATATATTCGCCTCCCAGAGAGAAGGAGCCAAGGCTTAAAGGAGAGCAACATGAAGAGATATACCCCTTTGCTGGTACTGTGAGTCACGTGGACTGTAGTGGTCCCTTGGGAATCCCTAGAGGGATTCCTCTTGCCTATTTATGGGCTCAGGTACCACGCTATGCCTTTTCTGTCAACTTAAATAAAATGGGCCTTATATTTAATGTCTTGTTAAGCTGAGTGCTAAGAGTTAGCGTGAAAGCTGAGGGCCCTTTCCTTCCCCTTTTCTGTGGAGACCCTGCCAGGAGCCAAATTCCATTGTCCTCTGGGGGAAAAATAGAGGGGGCGTGAACTAAAAGAGATTTCTTAGAGAACGCTTCAAGACCGAACCCCATCTATGAGAGTGAACCTCAAGGGCCTCAGTTCTTGACCACAGATTACATGTATATGGTCAACCCAGGTGAACTTGCATAATTCATCCATGATGAAGCCAAGTGCCATCTGCCTCTATTCCCACATGCTAGGACTCCTTATCACCTTATTCTTTCCAGACTAAGGCCAAAAGGCCTCCAAGGGTATGTTCAAAATTCATGAAAAATTGAGGCACCCAAAAGTAGTACATAAGAAAAGAGCAGAGCAAACTAGAAAACTCTTTTGGGGGGCCATATTTTTCCCCCATCAGGCTGAAATAAATTGTCAATTCCTTGAAAGCAGGGGCCAAGTATCATTGACTTTTATATCCCCTTTAACACAAAGTTCATAGTGTCAGACATGTAACAAAGTTTGTTTGAACAAAGTAAGTTTGTTGAATGGATGGGCAGATGGATGGATGGATGGATGGATGGATGGATGGATGGATGGATGGATGGATGGATGGATGGATGGATGGATAGATGGAAGGATAGAGGGATGGATGGATGGATGGATGGATGGATGGATGGATGGATGGATGGATAGACGGAAGGATAGAGGGATGGATGGATGGATGGATGGATGGATGGATGGATGGATGATGGACAGGTGGATGGATGAGTGGATGGATGGATGGGTGGATGGATAGATGGAAGGACAGAGGGATGGAGGGATGCTGGAGGGATGATGGAGGGATGGATGGATAGATGAGGGAGAGGATTCCACATTAATGAAATAAAATCCCAACACCCTTCCCACTTAATTAAATTCAAGTATTTGTCATACAAGTGCTATGTGCAAAGCACAGTGATAAGTCTTGGGAATACAATCATAGAAATTAAAAACTGTCCCTGACCTAAAGGAGCTTACGTTGACAAAGAAAGATATAATATGTAAAAAGATAAGTAAACATGAAAATATATGATACTCTGAGGAAACATCAATAACTGGCCGGATCTGGAAAAGATTTCCATAAGAGGTAACAACTGAGCCAAGCCCTGAAAGGAGCTGAGGATTCCAAGAGGCAGAGATAAGGAGGGAGTTCATTCTAATTGGTGCAGTGGCTAGAGCATTAGACCTAGAGTCAGGAAGACCTGAGTTCAAACCTGGTCTCAGACACTTACTAGTTGTGTGACCTTGGGCAAGTCACTTAACCTCTGTTTACCTCAGTTTCCCCACCTGCAAAATGGGCATAATAAAGCACTTCCCTTCTAGGGTCGTTGTGAGGCTCAAAGGAGACAGTGGTTGTAAAGTGCTTTGCAAACTTTAAAGCATTATATGAATGCTAGTCATCATCACCATCACTATTATTATTGCTATTTTAACTATTATGTAAGGCAGCCGGAGGGGATTCCTGTGCAAACGCATAGGTGGAAATACAGAGCTGAGTTCCATGCTTCTGTCAGTGGCTGAGGGAGCAGGAAGGAAAGCAGGTTCCGTTTACCTTTGGTCCATATGAAATCTGATGAGTTCTTATTTGCCTAAAAGAAGGAAAGGAATGGGGAAAATCATTTACATAGCACCTACTGTGTGTCAGACACAGCACGAAATACTTTATCTCTTTTCATTTAACCTCGTTTGATTCTCCCAACAGTCCTAGGAGGTAGGTACCTATTTTACATTTGAAGAAAGTGAGGCAGCTGTTAAGTGATTTGCCCAGGCTCACACAGCTAGTAAGTATCGGAGACTGGATTTGAACTCCAGGCCCAGGACTCTGTCCACTGCACTACCTGGCTGACTGAGGCTTGATTTAATGTAAACACATTAGGCGATGGATCCATAAGGAAAGGATGATCCCTCCAGGCTGGGAATCTAGAATCTCAGGAAATGTGAAGAGGTGCTAGGAGAGTATAGAATAGCTGCTTCTTCAAGAGGGAGCTTTCTAGTTTTAACCTGCTTTTAAAGTAGAACGAGATCTATTGTTCCCAATCAGAGGACGGACCACGAGGTGGCTTTGTCAAAGAAAAGCACGGTGACTCAACCAGACACTCAGGGAGAGATGACTCCCTATGGAAGGCTAGCGTATCTTACAGACTCTCTCTGGTATAACCTAATAGCTCTTAAAGCTTGGAAGAGAAGAAAAATTAGGAGTATGAAAAACAGAGCATGGGGGCAGCTAGGTGGCACAGTGGATAGAGCTCCAGCATTGGAGATCAAATACAACCTCAGACACTTGACACTTACTAGCTGTGTGACCCTGGGCAAGTCACTTAACCCCCATTGCCTCACCAAAAAGCAAAAAAACAAACCAAAAAAAAAAAACCTGAGCATGACAAACTGAGATGGCTCTGGGCCCCACACTCTTATATGGGGTGAGGGTAAAGAGGGTGGGAGAACCACACTGATGCCCCAGCCAAGTTCCTAAGCTACACAGTGAACCATAGGATCATAGATTTAAAGAGGGAAAGGAGCCTAGGGGTCATCAATTCTAGCCCCTTCATTCTATAGATAAGGAAACTGAGGCATAGAAAGGAACCCAACTGAGGTCACTCAGGTAGGAAAGCCCTGAGGCAGGATTTGAACCTAGGGCTTCCTGACTCTAAGTCCACAACACTAACCATTATACTATGCTGCCTCTCAAGGAGGAAACTGTGGAAGTTTCCTTTAAAAAAAAAAAGATCTAGACCTCTCCATATAATTAGCACATAAACAACCCCACTACCACCAACTCAATGAAGATGGTACCCAGAGGAAAACAGGGTCCCAAAAGAGGGGGAAGGGACCTTACAAGACAGGATATTAGACCGTAGAGCACTGAATGTCAAAGCTAGAGGTGACTTTAGAAATCGCCAGATTTTTTAATTCATGCAATCCTATCAGTAAATATTATTTTGAATGTACTCCTTCACATGTTTTTTTTTTAATTATTTATTTATAGAGTACATACATCTACTACTAAATGACTCACTCTATCCAATCTGACGGTTGCCTTGGGGTGATCTGAAGAGCAGAGGGTAAGTATGCTTGGGGTGGGAAAGAGAAATTTTCCCAGTGGTGCCTGAAGCTGCTCCTATAGGTGAGGCTAATTAACATTTAGGTTAAAACTGCCCAGAAGGACAGAGTTTGGTAATTACAAAGCAGCTAGAGGGGAGTGTTGGGATATAGGGGGTGAAGAAGGGTCGGTGTGGTTGTCTGGGAGATAATCTTTACCACTAGTCATTGCGTCAAGGGTGGGATTCCATCCACTTTCACACCCTGGGATTTGTAGATCCTTAAGGTCAGACCAAAACCTCTATTTCAAAGAACAAATCCCCTTAATAAAAGGATTTGTTCTATAAAACTTGACTCAGTCAAAAGACTGCACCCAAGGACCTAGAAGGCCACATGTGGCCTTGAAGCCAAAGGTTCCTCACCCCTGAATACCCTAGGACATAGAATAAAACATTAGAACCTAAAATGTTAAAGCCAAAGGACCCCAATTTTCTCATTTTCCATGCTCTCCCCCTCAGCTATGTCCTTCCTTCTTCAGGATTGCTTCTCTTCTTCATTCTAAGGACATTCTATCCATGTGAAAACATTACTTGGGAAAGAAGGGAGAGAGTTAAATTTCTCCCAAGCTCTCCAATGGGTAGGCCAGCTAGGAAAAATCTTTCATGGAGGATGTCTCCTCCAGTGTTCCATTTCCCAACCTGGGAATTCAGCCCAACTCGATGCTTTCTCCTCCCTGCCTGCCCAATTTCCAGATTCAGCAGCTCCTTTCTCATCAGATCACTGTGGTCTCCATGAGTACACATGTTCCAAGTTCAACATTCTTGCTCTCCCTCTCCCTCCAGCAACTATTCGGTTACAGTAGAGTCTCTTACCTTCCCCGGGAATCTGACTGACCGAGGCACCCAATAGGGGAATGCAGCAAGCTCTCTTGGGACGGGGAGCTGACCCCCAAAGCTGTGACAGGAGCAGGCACAGGACCTGGCATGTTGTGGGAAAGAGAACTGAACTCTTCTCTGGACCTATTTGAGTTAGAAAGAGAACACTTAAAGGGATCGTTTATGACACAAAAGAAGAGAAAGACTGTAATAGACAACTAGATTAAAAACTAGAAAAAACCTGGCAAGCATCCAGGCCAGTCCTTTCATTTTTTAGGGGATGATCTGTTCAGTCACACAGCTGGGAAATAACAGCACCAGGGATTGAACCCAGGTCTTCAGACACAAAATCCAGCCTGGAGTTGGGAAGACTCATCTCCCTGAGTTCAAATCCAGCCTCAGATACTTATCACTGTGTGACCCTGGGTGAGTCACTTCACCCTGTTAGCCTCAGTTTCCTCATCTGTAAAATGAGCTGGAGAAGGAAATGACAAACCGCTTCAGTCTCTTTGCCAGGAAAATCCCAAATGGGATCATGAAGAGTCAGACACAACTGAAATGTCTGAACCACACCAACTGTGTGCAAAACACTATGTTAAGTGTTGGGGGCGGGGATGCAGAGACAACTCCAAAATGTTCCCTGGAAAGAAATTAACACGTATCAAGCACCTGTGTGTCAGATACCGTACTAAGCACTTGACAAACATAAACCCCCTCACAACAACTCTGAGAGGTAGGTACTCTTATTACTCCCATGTTACAGATGAGGAAACTGAGGCAAAATGATTTACCCACACAACTAGTTAAATGTCTGATACAGGGTTCAAACTCGGGTCTTTCTTAATTACAGGCTCAGTGCTCCACCTAGCAACTTCAAGGAGCTTTAATGACCATGAGTTGATAACTTCACTTCAATTTTTAACCACCTTCGTTGTCAGGAAGGATGAATCTAGTCCAGTCCATAGGACTTTAATCAGGAAGACTTTCAGTCAAATGATTCTTACTTTTTTTTTTCCCTTGGGGGGGGCTGTGAGGCAATTGGAGTTAAGTGACTCGCCCAGGGTCACACAGCTAATAATTGTCAAGTATCTGGTCTGAGGCCAGATTTGAACTCAAGTCCTCCTGACTCCTGGCCCTATCCACTGCACCACCTAGCTGCCCCGATTTTTACATTTTTTGACATAGCCAATTATGGGAATTTGTTTTGCTTCACCGCAATTTGTTACAAGGGCTTTGTTTTTCTTTATTTTTCCAGTGGGGGCAGGGGGTGAGAGAAAGAGAGAAAATAACTGTTTGTTACTTGGGGAAAAACTTAATTTCCAAAGAAATTTCTAATGGAATTCGAGCTAGAAAATCTGGATAGCATGAGAGGAAGAGCCCAGCGCGTGTGGCCAGCAGGTGCCAGCTCTCCCTTTTAGAAGCCACGAAACCTTGGACAAAATCACTCAACCTCTGTTCGTGTCACTCAGCATCCTGCGTTTCCTCGTCTGTCTGACAAGCCTGCCTACCTGACAAGGACACTCACAAGACCATAAATTTAGAACAGGAAAGGACTTGATAAAATACCCAGAACGCCCCTTCATTTAATTGTGAGTCTGCAATCAGAACATGCACCTGAAAGGGTTTTGAAGCTCACAGGACTCTCTGCAAACGCAAGAGAAAATGATGAATGACTTTTCACTCATTCTGTGATTCCAATCCAACTGGACCAGTCACTGCTCCCTAACCTTGTCTTGCCCTCCCTCACCAAAGGCAGGCAGTGTCTCAAGTCCCAGGTAGGTACTTCCTCTCCCCTCCCCTGACCGAAATCCTTCTCTTCCTTCAAGACCCAACTCAAACGCCACCTCCTCCCTGAAGCCCCTCCTAATCCCTCCAGCTGAAAATGTCCTCTCTTTCATGATGGCACGTTTTGTTGGAGTTGTCCTTTGTCCCTATCAAACTCGACCTTGTGATATCCTTACACACGTATGTGTTTCATCCCTCTTATCAGACTGTAAGCCAGCTCCTTGAGGGATGGCACCCTCATGATGCTGTTCTCATCTTTGTCCCCCCAGCACTTAACACAGAGCCTTGGATGTATTGTTGGTCTAGCCCAGAGCTGTCACTTCATCCATGAAGGGAATTCCCAATTCGGGATCAACAGCTACTCTACAACAGATAGTCTTAGACATTTTCTTGGGACTGTGATGGTTTGGCAATTTGCTTAGGATTACAAAATTAGAAAAAGTGTCGAAGGCAGAACTTGCTGAATCCCAGGCTGCTGCTACAACTGCTATAACCTGATGAATTCCCTACCTTGAATGCAGTAGACACTTCATCAAAGCCTCGTTCCAATGTACCGAAGTCTGTGACACACACATAAAGTCACAGCATGTGATAGACCCTAAGGGACACTCAGGACTTTCCATACATTCTCCTCCCAGCCCCAACTATGGAGACTCCAGACAACTTCAGACTGGAAGAGAACCTTTATCATAGAAAATCTCAGCATCCAGACTTCCAGGTCACCTGGCCAAAAAGAAGGAGGAGTAGGCATTGCCTCCTATCCCCTCAGACCTCTCAAACCCCTCCAAGCAAGAATTACATACAAGAGACAAAGCAATTTCAGCCATCCCTATGGTCTAGGACACCTCTAATGAACTGCCTAAATGAATTAACAGAAAAGAAAGCTAATCCCTATAGCCTCTAATGGCTCACTCAGCAGCCTCACCTCCACCTCCCACCCTGCCCTCCTAGCATGGCTGTGGGAGTCAATAGGTAGGCTTACAACAACTCACACACACACAGAAAACCCAAAAGAAGAAATTTCTTCAGTCTGGGATAGTAGCATGGCACTGGTCCATGCTGCAATAGCACTCAGACAGAAATAATGAGGAAAGGAAATTCAAATAGCACAAGACTATTCTGTACTCACCAGAAACAGTAGGAGAGAATGGAAAAATGTGTTCTGAAGAGCAAAGGAGCTCAATTTGCAGCCCAAGGTGACATGTTCTGCAAACCTGAACCTAACTATTAGTGAAAAAGATGGATTTTCAATAAAAATTTCCCATCTCTAACCCTGACTACCAACCCACGCCACCATCATTACTGTGTTCCCATTTAGGATCATTAATCACATTTAGAATCATATTTCTAGATCCAGAAGGAAACTCTGAGGCCATCTGATCTAATTCTGGATCTTTACAAATGAGGAAGCTAAGGTCCAGAGAAGTTAAGTGATTTGCCCGAGGTTATAGGTTACAAATTCAGACTTTTTTTTTTTTTTGGTGAGGCAGTCGGGGTTAAGTGACTTGCCCAAGATCACACAACTAGTAAGTGTCAAGTGTCTGAGGCCGGATTTGAGCTCAGGTCCTCCTGACTCCAAGACTGGAGCTCTATCCGCTGTGTCATCTAGCTGTCCCAGAAATTTTTAACCTAAATCTTCTGCCTCTAGCCCCTCCGTTCTTTTTTAGTAGTCTCATTTATCACTTCCACAATCACCTCAACCACATTTCCTCTACTTCTGGTCACCTACCAGCTTTTGGGGTCTCAGAGACCGAGGGACCCAGTAAGGGAGGCTTGCTTCGTCTCTAGGCACGGGTAAGAAGCCTCCAAAGTTGAGCTGTTCAGAGGAACACTGACAACATGCTGGTACTTGGTAAAAACTATCATGGGTGGGGGCATCCTGGTTGAGCCAAGAAAAAAAAGAGACATGAAAGAGAGACATGAACATGGAATCAGACATGGAACTTGAATCCTAGTACTGGCTAGAACAGCAAACTAACCTGGGCCATGAGGCTAACCTCAACCAGCAGGAGAGACAGAAAGGATCCCTAGTAATGGATGCCGCTCTGATTTGCACTGGGACCAATACATACAAAATCCATGGTAAGAGGGGAACACATATTTCAAACTAACTTCATCTCCAACATTCTCTACCTGAACTCTCCTCTCCAGCTAGACTGGATTACTCTCTAGCCCCATAAAACCAATCCTGTGCTTTCTCACATACTCCCACCTCATCTCCACCTCTTAGAATCCCTGACTCAGCTCCAATGCTACTATCTGCAGGTGGCCTTTCCCATCCCACCCTCTACCTCATCCCTAGCTTTATACTTTGGTTTGGCAGTCTTGAAACGTCACTGTTCCGAGACTTCAAAGACCCATAAAAAAATCTTTTAAAAGTTAAATATCAATAGAAAAATCAGTGTTTTGTATGAGAAGTAATGAACTTAGTGTGCAAATTTTGTATCAGTAGCAGCATAAATGATGGATATTGTTTTATAAGTAATGATGGTTTTTCGAGGTCTGCAGTTTCATTCTTGCTAGTAACTTTGCTGCCAGGTATAATGATGACAGACTAGGCAATTTGTCATATAAGAAATTCTCTCAGAGAAAAGGACAGCTTTCCTGGATCGTGATTTCCACATTATCTATCCATTGGTTAATCTTTTAAACTTTAATCAGTTCTTAACATAGAGAGCACCAGAATTACCAAGAAATTAAGGCTGGTTTTTAAAATTGCCTCTCATCATCTCAAAAGTGTTTCACCATTTTAAAAAACAATACGATAAGGTCATTCCAATAGCCATCTTCCAGTTTAAACTTTATTTTTACATGAAATCATATATGCCTTCCTTCTATGGTTACCTTATATTTGTTATACACATAAACATATGCACAAACATCCATATATATACACATGTATATATGTACTCATATTTATATATACATATATATATACACACACATTTATATACATACATTATATATATATATATATATATAATATATATATATATAAACATATACATGTATGTATGGTGGGTAGTATCTTGTGGTATGTGGATACATATACATATATGTATATTATGTGTATGTGTGTGTGTGTGTGTATATATATATATATATACATACATATATATATATATATATATATATATATATATACATACATATATATATATATGATTCGAGGAAGAGATGGAGAGGAAGGACAGACACTCCTGAAATGGGGGACCATTGTGCAGATGGAGATGGAAGACAGAATATTGTGTATGGGGAATAATCAGCAGGCTCTTTAGACTAGAATGGAACGTGCAAATGGAAATAATTTGCCATAAACCTAGACAGGTATAAGGAAGCCAGACTGATGGAGGTTTCGCATGCCAAAATGAGAAATATGTATTGGATGCTAGGGACAATAAAGAGCTATGGAGCCATAGAATGTTTGGGGGGGAGGTCAGAAAGGAGGAAGTAGCATGATGAGCTCTGTGTTTTAAGAATATTAATCTGGCCGCTGTGTGGAGGATGGATTAGGCAGGGGAAGGTCAGAAGGCAGAAACACCAATTAAGAGGCTACTGCAATAATTCAGACAAAAGATGAGGAGGGTCTGCACGAGAGGAAAGGCTAAGATGAGGAGATGGATGTAGTAATGCTGTGGGGGGTATGATGGACAACAATTCTGCAACTGATTGGAGAGATGCCTCCTCCTTTTCAGAGCCAGAAGGACACGGTGTAAAGAACACTCACTGGCTCTAGAGTCAGAGGAGGACCTGAGTTCCAATCCCACCTCTGATACTTATGAGGCACGTGTCTCAGTTTCCTCATCTGTAAAATGAAGAGGTTGAGCGGGCCGACCTCCAAGTTCCTCCTTCCAGCTCCAGTGAAATCTATGATCCTGTGGAATTCCCATGGAAGAGCCTGGGGCATTCAATTCATCAAAGACTCAGACTCATCTTGATGCACAGTCATCATGCTTGTTGACTGGCTGACTAAAGGAAGGGCGTCTCTTCCCTTCTGTCTCCCTCTCAGTGTCTAGTGAAGCTGCTCACAAAATAAAGGCTGAGTAAGTATTTGAGGACTTGCTCACTCCTCCTCCGTCCTTCAGCTGAAGGTTTTGCCCCAATAACCCCAAACCCCAGAGAAGCAGTTGTACCCTAAGCTATTATCAGTCATTGATCCTCACAGGTGAAAGAGTTCTCCATTCTTTCTCAGAACTGGTTTTATTAGGGACAGCTCTTTATAGAGAAAGAATCCTTATTCAGGTTTGGGTCAAGTTAGATGATCTCTGAGGCTCCTTCCAATTCAGAGTCTGTGATTCTCCATACAGACTGATGGGGAGGAGTGGGAATAGCAGAAGGGGGCCTGGAGGCCAGAGCCGGTGAAGATACTGTAGGAATACGGAGGTGGTTTTGACATTTTTCCCTTGAAGGCCCCAAATTCCCTGATGGAAGACAGAATCGGGATTGAGACAAAGTAATCCCTCTTCCTTTTTCTCCCTCACCTTAAAGTCTATGAATTTCACTTCTGACTTCAAGTTTCGAGGTTCCTTATTCCTAGATAAGAAGAAAAGGAAGTCCTTAGAACATGTAAGGTTTCTTGCAGGCCAGGGGATGCTGAATGGAGGAAGCTAAGACAATAGGCTTACTAAGGCTCACCTGGAAGCCATAGCGTGCAGTACAACTAGGAGACAGTAGGACCCCTTTCTGAGTCCAGAGGGTGAAAGAGAAGGGCAGAGGTTTGGTGTGGTGCCCAGGTGTGGGCGTGTATCTGTGTGAGGGCAAGGGTGCATACCTGTGTGCTTGTGTGAGACCCAGAAGCGCATACAGTACATGAGCATGACCATTTGGGGCAGTGATTCTTAACCTGTTTTGTATCATGGACCCCTTTGGCAGTCTGGTGAAAACTTTGAACTCCTTCTCAGAACAATGTTTTTAAACGAATAAAATACATAGGATTAAAAAGGAAACCAATTATATTGAAAGACAGTCATAAAAAAATTCAATCACAGACCTTGGGTTAAGAACTCTTAACTTGGAGGAAAAATTGTCTGATGTTTCAAAGAGAAATGGACGTAGGTTTAGGTTCACCAGAACTGGATTCCCATGCCAGTCCTCTACTTAGTTACTACCTGTGCATGCACGTGTGACTGGACCTCTCTGGGCCACAGTTTCCTCTTATAAAATGAAGGTGTTCAACTACATGATCTCCTCAGGGCCCTTTGAGCTATACATCTTCTGACTTCATACTCTAAACTCCTACATGTGTATGTACACACACACACACACACACACACACACACACACACACACACACACTTTACTACTGTGGACAAAAGAAAATCTACCTACCAAAGGATGGACCTGTTGGTCTCATTCCAATCCAGGTTTCTGGGCTCTGGAAAAGAAAAAGGAAGGGAGAAGGTGGTCTCATTCTCTCCTCCAGTAACACAGGAGGTGAGCATAAGGGGTTAGGGGACAAGCATTTCACAAGGAATGGAATGGTGACTTTGGGGAGAGTTTGTTTTTCTTAAGAACCTCAGGGATTTGAAAATAAGTAATCACCACTAGGCAGCTGATATCGGACAAAGCCCTTAAAGTCAATGAAAGGTTGCTTTTGCATTAGTACTCAAACGTTCTGAAGCTTTTTATCTTTCTCTTTAGGACAAGAATTCTTAACCTGAGGTCCAAGAACTTTTGTTTTTTAATATTTTGATAACTATGTTTCAATTGAATTGGCTTTCTTTGTAATCTTCTGTATTTTATTTTATGCATTTAAAAATCTGCTGCATCTTATTTTATGATTTATTTTAATAAAATACTGGGTTTTATTGTATTATTATTTATTTTAGTAAAATTTTCTGTTTTATATTATTTATTTTAATAAAATCCTTTGTTTTATTTTATTGCTGATTTTAATAAAATCTCTATTTTGTTTTATTATTAATTCTTTATTGTTTATTTTAATAAAATCATATGTATTTTATTGTTTATTGTTTATTTTAATAAAAACATCTGCATTTTATTTTTTATTGTTTATTTTAATAAAATCCTTTCCTCTTATTTTATACTAATTGTTTATTAGCTTAATAAAATCTTTTAATTTTTTATTATTTATCTTAACAAAATGCTCTGTATTTTATTTTATTATTTATTTTAATAAAATCCTTTGTATTTTATTTTATTTGTGTTAATAAAATATCTGTGGTTTGTTTTATTATTGTTTATTATTTAATCTTAATAAAATCCTCTGTGTTTTATTTTATTCATTTAATACATTTTATGCATTTAAACATATGATTCTGCAAAGGGGTCCATGGGCTCCTCCAGACCACCACAGGGGTCCCAGACACAAACAAGGTTAGAACTCTGGCTTTAGAATGATAGATCTACAGCTAAGAAAAACCTTTCAATTCATCTAACCCAACTCTCTCTTTTTACAAATGAGGAAACTGAGGTACAAATTCATGTATTCAGGATTTGAATCTAGATGGTCTATTCCAAACCTAGTACACTTTCCAATGCACCATAATCTTTCTGCCTCTGTTTCTCTCTTTATTGTTTTCCCCTTTTCTCTAACAATTTTGGTTATTGGACAAATCTAAGAAAATGTGTATACTTCCAAATATTCTAAGTAAACTTAAGGTTTAGCTAGATCTCCAAATACATCATTTTTGGCAAACCTAAATATTTTCCCAAGTTTGAAATTTCAAATTTTCCATCCTTTGAAAAAAAATTAAGAATTTCGCCACACACATTACATACACATACACACAGAAGCCCTAAAAACACTACACTCTGGCCTTCTACTTTCTTTTTAATATGCCACAGCAAAAGTTTGCCTGATTTACAGTTCTTACAACATATAATTCTTGGGGAAAGGTTTTTTTTTCATCTATTACCTCATTATATTAAGATTTTCATTATGATTTTAAATGCAAAAGATAATGTTTGAAAGTATGATTTGCCCAAACTCTACTGGGCAGTTCTAAGTCTGCCCAACCATACCTAAACATGTCTAGTTTTAGTGCTCTACAAAGATATTTTCCCTGGAATTGTTAGAAATGCTTCACTGTGGTATTTGCCTACAATCTCTGGGTTTCCCTTCTCTCATCAATAAAATAAGGTATCTCCTACTCTATAACTCTACATTAAGGTCTTTTGATGACTGGGGCAGCTAGGTGATACCCTAGTGGACAGAGTGCCAGGCCTAGAGTCAGGACGACCTGAGTTCAAATCCAGCCTCAGACACTTACTAGTTGTGTGACCCTGGGCAAGTCACTTAACTTGTCTTTGTCTCAATTTCCTCATTTGTAAAATGAGCTGGAGAAGGAAATGGCAAACCACATCTTTGCCAAGAAAACTTCAAGTGGGGTCACAAAGAATTGGATACAACTGAAATGAGTGAAAACAACATGTAATTGAGTTAGGCAAAATTAGGGTGTATCCATTTCAGTAAAATCTTGAACTGTGATGTTTCAGGGGAATACACCACCTTGGCACTTTACATAGAGCATAGCTCAAGCTGGCCGCCATTGAAACAAGCCAGTTCAGCTTCCCCAGTCACGTGGGAAAGTTAGATGCAATAATCTTCACCCTCTATTATCCTCTAACTTTGTTTGGAAGTGGCTCCAGATTCCCAAGGTACTTGGTGGCCTTTGCAGTTCAGTTTTCTCGGTCATAATGCCCTGTACTAACTGTTCTCCATGTTCCGAAGACAACAAAGAAGCTTAGCTAAGCAGCCACCCCCCTACTCCACTTTGTCCACAACTTTGGAGTCATTTCCTCGAACGAGGCTGAATGATAGGATGGCTAAGACCCGTTCCAGTTTTCCCACTCTATAAATCTATTATTCTCTATTTGTAACAATAATCACATGAAGGAGTAAGACCTCCCAAGCATAAAGAGCCAAAGAAAACCTCCCATGTTTAAATCTTCCACTGTAGACTTATCATTACTATTCCCACATTTGGTCTTTTTTTTTCCCTAACTGAGCTCCTCTGAGACATCTGATATTTCTTTTAATACCCTCCTCCTGCCACCCTAGATGGTCACTAGATGTCTACAGACTGCCTGTTTGATTGGTTAATTGACGAAGGGACCATACCCTTTCTACTTCTGGATATGTCTGCAGGATAGAAGGAAGGAAGGAACTGGGGAAGATGGTTGCAGAGCTACTGACAGACCTGAGCTGCCATGCCACAAACTTCAAAGGGAAGGGAGGGGTGGGAATGGACCAGAAGGCAGGAGACCTGAGTTCCATACCCAGCTCGACCACTAAGTTAGCTGTGTGACCCTCATCAAGCCGCTTCTCCTAATCTGCAAAATTATGAAACTAGACCAGATGATCTCTAAGTTCCCTCCAGCTTTGAAATTCTTTGACTGAGTGAATGTGTAGTCTTTCCCGTGATGGTCTGGGGTATCTCCTTTGAGATTGTAACCTTGCCTCTCCAATGGAAAACGTGAGATGGAAGAGGACGTGTCAGCATGCCCCATCACTCCATCAGAGGGACACTTTGTCTTTCAAATGTTGGACAACCTCAGGGCAAGCCCTCTTCAAACAAAATCTCTGATCAGATCACATCTGTTTTTGCTGGTCTGGAGCACATACCCTTGGGTCTTGACAGCACTGGCTTCATCCTCGCCTGTTCTTCACCCTGGGCTCCGCCTAGCAAACTTGGACATTCCTCCCTCAGGCCTCCTCTCTGGCGGGTCCACATAAGATTTATCTACTTCTTAGTCTCCCGAGTTCCTTCTCCTCCCGTGAATCTGTTGGATAACACGTCATCATCAGTCACCATCCTCACCATCACCATTACTTTTATCACCAAGTACCATTACTACAAGTGCTGTGCCAAATGTCCTTTTCCCACATGCCATTTGAGAGCATCTCTCCAAGCTCTCTCTCCTGCAGTCACCAACACGTTATCAAGGATGAGAAGGCTGTGAGACCCCCACCTGATCCGAGTCCCCCATGGCCCTTTACATCATATAGGGAAGACACACTCCCTACACTCTAAGAATTTATATTCTCATAGAATTTTAGAATCTTTGAAACATAGAATAGGAAAGAACACCCAGATGTCATTTCATCTAGTCCCCTGCCTCCAAGCAGGCTGTGCCCAAAACATTTCAGTCGTGTAGTAAGTAAAATCCAAAACTTTCCTTAGTAACTTTCTCCAGTGTTTAATGGTCTTTCTTCTGTAACAATTTTCTCTTGTTATCACAAAACCTATCCAAAATTAGCCATCAACTAGTCAAAAAGCAAACATCCTTCTGGTGCTGGCCAGATTGCCATCACTGTGCTGGGGATACAGGGGGCATACAACAAAGTGTAACACATGGGTCAAGGAGCGCGTGATCTTCATGGTCAGATGAGTGACAGGCCCCATGAAAAGATAAGTAACAGTAGCGGGCAATGTGTGGTAAGTGAGGGCTTGATGATAGGGTCCAGACTTAAACATAGGAGACTGGAGGAGAAAGAAGTCCCTATGGCCTGGTGTGGTCAAGGTCACAAAGGAAGTGGGATTTGGGCTAGCATGAGTTCATAACCTTTTTCTGCATCATGGGCCCCAGTCTAGTAAAGCTGCATGTCTCTTCTCAGAATAATATTTTTAAATGTATAAAATACATTTATTTAAAATAAAACAAATATAAAATACATAGAATTACAAAAGAAACAAATTAAATTGGAATATAGTTATCAAAGTATTGTTTAAAACAATTTCACTGACTTGGGGTGAAGAACTCCTGCCTTAAAGGATGTATACAGTTCATTACAATGACAGGACAGGAGTTTGGGTGGTGAGGGAGAAAAGGCCTGGATATGTAATCCAAAGGTCTGAGTTCAAATTCTGATCATACTACTTAGCAGCTGTGTAATGTATACATTCATAGTGCCTCCGTTTTCTCATTTATATATAAGGAACTTGGATTACAATGAGCATCATTTAGTCCTTCCCAGCTCTAATTCCTATGGTGCTGTGAGAATAGCAACTTAGATAATTATGGGAAGAAGAGGTGGGCCTGTGCTATTTAATTGTAGGAATCATTTCTAGATTCCTTGAAGAAAGAGAACCTAGAAGCAAAATGGTCTCCATAGGAGGAAAGAAGACAGTCAGGAAAGCAGGGGCATGGGGAAGAATAGAACCATTCTGAAAGAAGCAGAGACCAGAGGAGAGACACACCAGACAACACAGAGATACCCTGGGGAAAATGACATCTAATTATCCCATTTAAAATTTAAAAATCTTAAAATAACATCTAAAAATTTTAAAAATTAGAGCTAATATCCCATTTATTCATTATGAGTGCTTTGGGATTGTGCAAGTCATTATGTTCATCAGAGTTCACAAGTCTTTCAAAGTTGGTTATCTTTACAATATTGCTGTAATTGTGTCCATTTTGGCCAGGAACCCTGGGGGTCTTCCCCTCCCAGAATGATTTTTTTTTTTGACTAGGTAAAAGAGGCCATTCTTTGCCTCATTTCTTACCTAGCCTTAATCACTTACTGGGCATTGCCCCAGTCAAACTGAGACCTTGGAAAGACCTTAGCTTAAAAAGGCCAAGGTCTCCCACTGCATCCAGGCCCATCTCCAGTCATCCTGATCTATATGTCTGGCCACTGGACCTAGATGGCTCCAGAGGAGAAAGCGAGGCTGGTGACTTTGCACAGCCCTCCTTCACTTAAATCCACCTCCAGGTAGAGAACTAATATACTTGGAGCACAGATTGAAGCATATTTTCTTGCTCTTTCTTTTTTATTCTTTTAAATATGGCTAATGTGGAAATATGCTTTGCTAGACTATATGTATATGTAATGGATTTTGTTTTTCTTGCTTTCTCAGTGGGTGGAAGAAGACAATTTGGAACCGAAAAAAAAATTTTAAAAGCTACATTTTGTTTTGTTTTTGTTTTAAACAGTATGATCCTTGCCCTGAAGGAGTTAGGTCATAGATCTTATGTTTATTTGTCTTTCCTTGTATACCCAGTGATTAGCACAGTGCCTGGTACATGAAGAACATTTAATTAATGCTTGTTGACTAATAGGAGCAGAGATCTAGGACCAGATGCCATTTAATTTCATTTCACAGATGATGAAACAGAGTCCAGTGGATGTTAATCGACTTGCCTGAGGTCACCCAAGTAGTGGCAGAGACTAGACATGATTCTCTGACAGCATAGCTACTGCTCTTTCCGCTTCTAGTTTTTTTGAGTTAGGAGAAACCTTAGAGATAATTTAGATCAGCCTCCTCATTTTACAAATAAGTTTTTCCTAATCAGAATCCTTGCTGACCTGAGATGAGTACAAAGATTGCCTAGGCTCCCACCATACGCGGCCCTCCTTCCCACCACCTGGACTACCACAGTTGTGACTAATAGGAAAAATCACAACACAGCTAAACTGGGAGTAAAGAAAAGGCTGGTGAAAAACTGAATGGATTTGATCAACGAAAGAGATAAAGTACAGAAAACCAAAAAGCAATTGAACATGTTGTACACTCATTTCAGACTCTTTGTGACCCCATTTGGGGTTCTCTTGGCAAAAGATACTGGAGTGGTTTGCCATTTCCTTCTCTAGCTCATTTGACAGATGAGGAAACTGAGGCAAACAGGATGAAATGACTTGTCCAAGGTCACACAGCTAATAAGTGTCTGAGGTCCCATTTGAATTCAAGTCTTCCTGACTACAGGCCCAGTGTTCTATCCACTATGTCACCTAACATAGTAACATAATATTCAATGAACCAGACTCCAATCACTGGGGGAAAGACTTGCTATTCCATTTCAAAAAAAAACTGCTAGGAAATCTGGAAAGATGTCTGGCAAAAATTAAGCTCAGACGTAACATCTCATACCTCATACCACAATAAATTCCAAATGGATTCATGTCCTATATATAAAAGGCCATATCATAAACAAATTAGAGGATCATGAAAGGAGATATCTTTAACAACTAGGGATAGGGGAACATTTCTTGACTAAACAAAAGATACAGAGGGTCACAGCGGACAAATTGGGCAATTTTGATTATATAAAATTCAAAGACATTTGCATAAACAAAACTATGTGAGTTCCTGATTAACTAGAAACACCCTCCTGGGACTGTTATCCACTTCTTAACCCTTAGGAAAGAAGGACCCACAAAACTCCCACCCCTATTTGCTTGCCTTTTATTAGGGTAACGTTAGCCTCTGTGGAACATTTTGGCATATTCCTAGGTGGCAACTTTAGAAAATGGGACAAAATGAATGTGCCTACTAACTATGATCGTATCCAAAACTCAGTATTGGGTCCTCTTCTCCTTCTTCTTTACACTCTCACTCAGTGATCTCACTAGCTTCCAAGGGTTCAATGATTATATCCATAAAAATGATGAGCATCAAAAATAAAAGGGGAAAAGGACATGTTTGTGCAAAAATATTTATAGCAGCTCTTTTTGTGGTGGCAAATAATTGGAAATTGAGGGAATGCCCATCAACTGGGGAATGGCTGAACAAGTTGTGGTATATGAATGTAATGGAATATTATTGTGCTATAAAAAAATAACAACGGACACCTAGGGGGTGCACTGGATACAGCTCCGGCCTTGGAGTCAGGAGGACCCGAGTTCAAATCCGGCCTCAGATACTTGACATTTACTAGCTGTGTGACCATAGGCAAGTCACTTAATCCTGGAAAGAGAGAGAGAGAGAGAGAGAGAGAGAGAGAGAGAGAGAGAGAGAGAGAGAGAGAGAGAGAGAGAGAGAGAGAGAGAGAGAGAGAAATGACAAACAGGATGATTTCAGGAAAACCTGGAAAGACTTATATGAACTGATGCAAAGTGAAGTGAACAGAACCAGGAGAACATTGTACACGGTAACAGCAATATTCTACAATGAAGAATTGTAAATGTTAGCTATTTTCAGCAATACAATGATCCAAGACAACCCCAAAGAACTAATGATGAATCATACTATCTGCCTCCACAGAAAGAATTGATACTGTCTGAATACAGACTGAAGCAAGTTATTTTTCACTTTCTTTCTTTCTTGCATTTTTTTATTTAAGTCTTCTTGTACAAAATGACTAACACGGAAATGTTTTACATGATTGCACATGTATAATCTATATCTGTTTACTTACCGTCTCATGAAAAGGGGAGGGGAGGGAGGGAGGGATATGGAACTCAAAACTTTAAAAAAAAATGTTTTAAAATGTAATTGAGGTGGGCAGCTAGGTGGTGCAGTGGATAGAGCACCGGCCCTGGATTCAGGAGGACCTGAGTTCAAATCTGACCTCAGACACAGAACACTTCCTAGCTGTGTGACCCTGGACAAGTCACTTAACCCCCATTGCCCAATAAAAAAAAATATAATTGGGGGGAAATTATGTGTGTGTGTGTGTGTGTGTGTGTGTGTGTGTGTGTGTGTGTATGTGGAGAGAGAGAAAGAGAGACAGAGAGAGAGAGAGAGAAGAGAATGATGCACAGCTCTACATGTCTAGTCCTGGTTTCTCTCCTGAGTGCCAGTCCTTCATTACACACTGCCCACTAGACATTTTGAATAGGTCTTTGAATAGATCTCTCAGCATCTCAAATCCAATATGTCTGAAACAGAACTTATTATCTTTCCCTCAAAATTCATTAGTCATCCAAATCTCCATATCTTTCTAGTCACTAAGATTTGCAACCTCAGTGTTTAAACGCTAAGTGGTAAGATGAGCAGGCAGGCAGAGCTATCTCTCACTTTGCTCTCCAATACTTTTGTGCAGGCAGAGTTTCCTTGGTACTGATTCCTTCTTTGGGACATGACTTTCTCTCCAGCACCCCCCTCAATCCTAGTCTTGTAGGGATGTGGAATCTTTTCCCCTCAATCCTAGTCTTGTAGGGATGTGGCATCTTTTCAAACCTACTGCAGAGTGAAGGGGATTATTGCAACTTGAAACTGTTAACATAGCCATCCACCATTGTGATTCTATGCTTGCTTTAATTCACTTTTGGTGAATGTATTCT